CATACATAGTATGATATGACGGCTCTTTTGGACCTTCCTTTCACAGCTTAGAGCCCTAGCTCTATAGCTCTAGACCTAGGCATCTTACGCCTAGGACTCTTTCACCCTTTTTGGCCTAGCCCTTATGGCTCCCAATACCTGTATATATAGTCTTCCTTTTAGCATCCTACATAGCTCTTCACTTGTAGATTCTAAGTACACAATCGGAGTCCTGTTTATACCCTTTTGGTCACAATAGCCCTAAATATAGTATTATCAGTTTTCAATATAATAGAGCCCTGTCTAAACACTTTGCAATAGACTTGATGGTATCCTTTATATATAATATAGAAATAATATTATTAACAGAAAAAGAGATAACTATAGTCATTATAGATGTGTAAAAAATATTCGATATATTGCTTAAAAAACGATTTCTAATTAGAATAATGGAATAAGGCTGGCCCAAAAACCTCTTTCTTTTAATCGACTTCTTTCTAACGAAAAGGAAAGTTAGAGTACAGTTTGAACAAGTCACAACCAAGAAACATCTAATAGTATATGAAATCCTACAAGGCTTTCCTCTCTCCCCAGTTTTTTATACACTGTACCTGGCAAAACTAATGATAGGAAATATTATTCTCAGATTCGGATACATGGATGATATATGTTTATATAGGGTATCCAAATCGCTGGAAGAAAACTTTAGATTTTTCGCTACAGATATCCAAGATATAATAGATTAGGGATTGAACAATTATATTGTTTTTGCCCCAAAGAAGTTGGAAATGATCTATATCTCTGTAAGAAATAGCAATACAGTATCTGTTATTAAAGTAAATAGGGAATTTACAATTTATCCAATAATAACTACAGAAACAAATACCTGTCTAGTATTGAAATAGCTGGAAGTATAGTTCGATAGAAAGCTGAACTTCCGAAAACATATCATAAAATATACAAGTAAAGCCAGGGTTGTGGCAAGGTATATAAAAGGCCTAGCCAAGATTGTGCAAAGCCTCCCAGTATACTTGATATGCAAGGTAATGATTACATGTGTATTACCTTTACTTCTATATAGAATAGAAACCTGATACAAAGGTAGGTACAAGGCTATACGAAAACTCAGGCCTGGACAAATACAAATATAGATTAGTGTATGCCTAGGCTGGTATGTGATACAAATTGAGAAAGTTTTTATAATAACAACACAAGGAGTTATCCCAGCCTGGAAAACTATACTGGTGATAGCCCTCTATTGCGAAGCAGGACTTCTATCAGCTATGGCAGCCCTTGAGGAAGCCAAACTAAGATTCACCCTATACCTCCAAAGTATTGACAAGTCCTATTCACTCATGAAAAGAATTGAACCCCCCATAATCGTCAAAGATCGAGGGATGGGCACAAGACAAAGAGCGAAGACCAAAATCCAAAGACTCGGTTTCTTTATTTCTCCAATCCCAAAGCTTACATTCGAACTATTACTATACACTTCTGGCTGCCGAATAAACCCAACGAAAAAGATTGACAAGAAAACAATAACAAAAGCTTTCGGAATCTGATGGGACAACCTACCAGAAACGGATATCACTATCTTCTCAAATAGATTGGAAAACTATATACAAAGAAAATATATAATAAACTATAGATATATAACATATCTAGGTAAGAATCAGATACTAGCAGATTTTGGATCTATCAATACTCAATCTTATATCTTCAATACAAAGGTTATTAGAGTATAGATAGGTCTGGAATATATTCTCAAAGATGCCAGGTACACAAACCAGAAAATCTGGATATACATCGATAACGTTTTAATCATCTGGTATATACACACTAATACTTCTATATTATTACAATGAGTATTTAATAACTGTTATAGAGTTATAGAAAAGTATGATATACATATCAAATAGTTATCAGAATATAAAAACATTGAGGGAAACAAGGTAACTGATTATCTTGCAGACTTTGGTATTAAGAAAACCTGATGGGATATAGGACCAGTCTTGCAGCCCACCTATAGTGAGATACAATTGATTGCATATAACCTTAGAGAAGACATCTGTTAACAATAATAAATCTTCTGTGAATCTGCTCTTTTGTTGTAATACAAATAGTGGGATTTGGTATATAAGGTCAAATTATTGCTAAAACTTTTATTCCCACGAATAGTTTTATAAAGACTGATAGCTATCCGAATCTCATATAAAGACTTTGGATAATATTACAGAAAATTCAAACATATAAGGAATACGGAATGTTTTTGTAGAAGGTTCAAAACCCTTGTCTATCTGGTCCATTACCGAAAGGCAAAAGGTACCTTCAAATATTAGCTAAACAAGCCCCCCACACCACCATCAACAAATACAAAAGGAATCCAATACTTGTGTTAAGTCCTAAGCAATTCTATGGATTTTGTTAAGCTTCTAAAGCTAACAAAGTTCTATGAAAACATATGTCCAAGGTAAAGGGCTACAAATCTGCAATCTACAATCAATCCTCAAAGCCTGCGATAACCTATACTTATTACTAGGATCGATTTGTAATGTATAATGCAAACGAAACTACAAACTTCCCTTGCAGAGCATATACAGGGAAACAACAATATTGTTAGGATTTAAAAACCCTAATAAATACTAATAGGATATGCGAAAGCAAGTCCGAGAATGCTTTCAGGAGCATAACAAATATTCTAATCACTACATTTAAAAGTAATCTATTGAACTGCCCAGCTTATACAATGATAAGCTTATTATATAGGCACAATTGCTTATATTAGGCAAAACAGTAGAATCACCTCAATTGGCAGAAAAGGAAATATACAAATTGGAAGGTAACACAAGATTACTAAGAATAACTGTAAGACTTTCACTTTTCTTTTTAAGGTATCTTTATTTCATGTATTGTAAGACTATAGCTTAGAATATCAGCATATCCCTAGGGAGGTTCTGAGGGCAGCCCTAAGCGGCCTTCCTGATGTAAATTAATACTACCTACCTACCTACCTACCCATTGGTAGCCCATCAATGTGGTATGGGCGGAGATACTTATGGGTCAAGTGCGCACTTAATGATGTCTGATATACTACTTCTTATCTACCTTATAATTTAGCTGAATCACATTTAGAATTACTACAATGTGAATCATGTGATAAAAGTAACTGACTGACAATGATATTGATACTGATTCTGGAAGGTAGTGATCTTAATATCCACTCCTATCCTATCCTGCTTTGCAGGAATGGATAGGCTCGTTGGCGCCTAGGACTAGGAGCAGGAAGGAGTGATCACTTTTCAATTTAAACTAAATCTAACTGAAATTTCAGCACATATTCAAAAAGAATAATCTTTCCTTTGCAAAAACTCCCTCCCCTCCTTTCATAACATAATTTTAAGGAAAGGAAGGAACGCGATATTTCAGAGAAGTGGAAGAGAGTAGTGCTCTACATATAGAGGCCTATAATGCTCTATCCCTTAACAATCCGGACCTTGCTGTAAGCTCCAATTGTAAGCTCTAACTCCCCATTTGGCCCCAAACCACTTCGGAGCCCAATACTCCTTGACGCTTACTAGGACTTTCTCGAGAGCATCTTCAATACATATGCGATATCAGCGCTATCAATACATTGATGTAGATCCTTGAAATATATAAAGAGTGTTTTTATAAATGTACTAAAATTTAACGTTTTTGACATATGTTATGGAATCAAGTGTATGACAATCGACAAATCATTAAATTTACAACTGTAATAAATATGTGTTGTCCTCATTTTGATCAATAAACAATAAATATACAAAAGTCTTCATCTCATATATCTATATCGTAGAATCGACCGGTTGACTAGAGTAGGAGACGCTAATCATCCTACATCATCAATCATGATATAAAAGAAACGTCCAAAAGACATCCTACAAAAAAGGAAAATGTCCAACCCGTATCTGTGCTTTAACGAGATGCTCTAACGTCACAGCTCATCAGAAGGTCAGTTTGTTTATCATTCTTCGGCTTATCCTGCTAAATGGGTTATGAAAACCATCAAAATAGCAATCTGACTCCTCGAACATATATATCACTTGGAAGTGTGGTCCGAGAAGTTTCGAAAAGCCGGTGCGGGTCGTAAAAGTGCTGTATGTTAAATGAAAAGTCCAGTCGGCATAACTATCACCATCACCATCACCAGAGAGACAAGAAATTACGTTTTGTTGGATGTGGAATGTGTCGTCGATTCGTAATCACAGATGTGAAGTGACTATCTCAGCAAATGATGGCCAATAAGCTCATTCTTCCTTCACTTGATGTACATCCTCCAGTCTTCAATCCCATCCTTCCCAGGTATCCCAGCCATAAAAGTTGCCAAATCTAATCAAACCAATCAGTCTCCATCCAAACACTTATTATTTCGAAATTGTATCGAATCGAGGGAATCCTACCGAAAGAACCGAAGAGTGCGAATTTATCTTTGCGATTGGCCACTCCAGACGCTCTTCAACAGACCGTCGCGTTGAGCGAGTCTGTTGAGAGAGTCGTCACTCTCTCCCATGGCCCTGACGAATCCGCATAGGGCATAAACCTGGGTCTCCCCAGTGGCACGACCGCTGTCGTCAACCTTGGCTACAGAGATTTGAACTGATCCATGGTCCTTGGCCTTGATGATGCGGTTTGTCGCGCTGCACTTACGTGGAACGTAACTGTAAAAATTAAGGGTTAGAATTCATTTTGAAGATCTTCCAGTGAAGCAATTGAGCGTATATCGAAATGGGATAAAACGTACAGATCAACGGTTTCTCCCTTGTCGTTCTCCATTTTTGCGAATGGTTGGTTGATTGGTTGGTGAGAAGAAGAGGTTTTACGAATTTCTTAGTTGGCGTTGATTGAGTCGTCGAGGTTGAAATTCGATTTTCGTGGGATTCAAAATGTGGTTTTCTGGTAAGCGAGAATCTTCCATTTTGGCCATAAATACTAGGCATCAATACAGCTTGGAGGGATAATTGACATGTGACTTGGCGCATTTTTCGAGTCGGCGCTTGAAACTAGTGGCGCGGAATCAACAAAGGACTGAGTGAAGATTGCTCAGAAAAATGATAATTTCACGACGACGACGACGATATATCTTACGAGTAGAGTACATTCATTTAATGTGAAGCTTTCAATTCACTGTGTCGTACCTTCTGCTTTCATGGGAATGTGTCCCGCGCAAAGTTTCTCTAAGCAATAGTATCAAAATGGCTACCGCTGGTGTCTATATTATTTCCTCTTCGCCGCCGCGACAATTGGTATCTTATAATATGTCTTCGTCGCCTTTACCATCCCCGAGCGAGATATTCAAACAAAGAAAAGCCCCCAATTTGCGAAGAGACAGTAGTGATGCGCCTATTCCTACAGGCGCGACAGCCACCTTCGCGAGCGCATCGAGTTTGTTGGGAAAGGCTTCCTCTAGATCTCTTCAAGGGGTTGTTACTGATCCATCCTTGATCACGACACTGTTGCAGGATGAAAACGAATCGAACAAATCTGCGAAACCAAAAGCTCCACGAAAAACCGCTACAAAGAAGGAAGGTGGGACTATTGAGAGGGGGACGAAAGCACCCCGTAAGACTGCAAATAAGAAGAATGAAGATGGAGCTGGGGGTATCGTAGAGGAAGTAGTGGCTATGGCTGCAGAAGTCGTAGCAGAAAAGAAACCGCGAAAATCTAAAGCTAAGAAGGGAGTTGATGCTGCAGGAGGGGATGAAGGTGCCACGGATGCAATTGTACCGGGAATTACAGAGGCGGTAGTGGAAAAGAAAACACGCAAACCTAGGGCTCAGAAGGGAGATGATCTTACAGGAAAGGGTGTAAAGGAGAAAGCACCACTTAAACCTAAGGCGAAGAAGACCGAAGTTGAAGCCGGGAATGAAATCGTACCCAAAGAGAAAGCAATGAGGAAGCCGCGAGCTAAGAAACCAGATGGGAACACAAATGTACAACCAAAGATTGTCAAAGGCAGAGTGACCAAGACTGCCAACATCCCGACTACCGACAAATTCGAAGCCTCAATGGCCGACACGGTTAGCACACATTTTGCGCCCAACCCGATTGTTGAAGATATAGTTGCAGAGGAAGGATTTGGTTTAGTAGAGGCTATTAAGAGAAGAAAGAACTGGACGCCACCGAAACCAACACAAGCTCCAATTGACTTTGAGGACAGTCCAGAAGCTAGTGGCTCTGACACCAATAACAAAGGCTTCGCAGAACTATTGGGAAATTTTGGATTCAGCAGTAATGAGCCAAATTCTATTGAGAAGAGGATATCTTCAGGAGTATCTAATGGAGCTGCTGCAACAAGGAAAAGAAAGTTAATCGAGATGGTCACGACGAATGTTCCAACAACAACCGGTACAAAGGTCACAAAGGAAAAAGCTGTCAAGAAAAAGGCCAGGACGCTCACGGACCTTGCTACATCCGCTTATGCAACAGCGGGAGATGATGATGATGTTATTCTTGATGCGCCTGCGCCATTACTCCAATACTTTTCTCATGCAACCACTGGCGAATTTACCAATGGCGGCTTTAAAATACCTCCCAAGCCAAAGTCAACGAGTCCAGTAAAACGATTGCCAAATTCTAAAAAAGGCTCCGCAAAAGAGCCAATTCTTCTCTCCCCAGAATCTGCACTGAAGCAAGTAGGTAACCAAGATTTTGTTTTTGGTACTTCAAGTCAACTGGCACGAGAGAATTCTCCTTCATTACTGCGCGACTTGCACAATGCTATGCAAGCAACCAATGAATTAGATGACTACGACGACCCTTTTCTTTCGCCTCCTACGAAGATAGCGGAAAGAACGAAAGCTGCCATGGCTGCGAAACGGAATCTTTGGTCCGTTGCGACTCGTGATGATCATTGGGATCTGATGGATATTGAGACGGTAGACTTGGCATATACACCTGTTGCGAAACCGCGGGGTAGAATGATACCTTCACAAAAGCCTTCATCATTATTGGTTACTCCTGCGAAGGACGATTGGTTCGATATTGACGAATCTGAAGATGATCGACCCCCTTCTACCCAAGTTCCAGCAAGACAAATGGTTCCAATCGAGATGTCCATCAATTTTCAGCTTTTAAACAGTCCTTTTCGACCTAAGGATTCCTCGAAGGATGTGTCTACATCTCCCCCACAAAAAGTCATCACTCCTAAGAAAATTGATGCCTCAAAAATGCCCGACTATGATTCGTTTACTACGCCACAGTTATCGAAAGAAATCTATAAATACAAGTTTAAGCAAATAAAAAGTCGGAAGAAGATGATTGATTTATTGATTCAGTGTTATGAAAGTCAGAATCGCCCAGCCTTAGGTGTTCTACAGGGGAACATTCCAACTGAGACACAGAAGTCATTGGAAACGTCTGAAAATTTAGCCGGCTCATCCACTCAAGTCAAAGCCAGTATTTCTTCCCCTCAACGAGGCCGTGCCCGACCGAAAAAAGATACCACTGCTCCCGTCTCATCACCTAAGCCCAAGTCAAAGGCAAGATCAAAGATGACAGATACAGTGGCATTTCTAGAAATGGACAGCGACACCCCACTCTCCGAGATCCGCACACCGAAAAAAACCAAGAAAGGAAAACAACTTCCCGAAGATGTCTCCGACTCTGATCAACCCACGACGCCTTCACCCCCGCGGCGATCACCCTCTCAAATCCGAAAAGCATCCAAGGCGCTAGAGTTATCTCCTGCGGATGGTGATCGAGATGATGAGGCTCAGCAAGCACGACTTTTTACTCACATCTCAACTGCGATTACCAGTGCGCCTCCTTCACAAGACCCATCGAGTCCAAGCTGGCATGAGAAAATATTGCTCTACGATCCTATTGTGCTGGAAGACCTAACGTCGTGGCTGAATACTGGAGCATTGGGTGGGGTGGGTTGGGATGGGGAAGTGGCCCCGAAAGAGGTTAAAAAATGGTGTGAAAGTAAAAGTATTTGCTGCTTGTGGAAGGAGAATCAAGGTGGTGGAGCGAGGAGTAGATTTTGATGCGTGAGATGAATTTGCCGTTGTCGTTGTCGTTGTGTCTAGTTGGTTGATGAGATTACCGTTGAGATACCCTGTTATATACTCTGTTTTGTATCCTGTTTTATATTCTTATTATTATGAGAATCGTGAGTTCCATGAAAATGTTTCACTGCTACTACTGAATATACAGTTTTCTTCAAACCACACATTTATTGTCATTCGGTGGGGATGATTTCCGTGCAGGCTCACCACTCGAATGCATATCTGAATAAAATCACATTCTGTGAGAAGAGAAGGTCACCAAATAGTGTTTTGGAAGTAGGTAGTATCCGTATTTGATAATTCTTTGGATCCACAAACCAGCTCATGAGTCTAACACAGAACGAGCTCTCAGTACAGCCTTCATTTCCTTTCCTTTCTCAATCTCATCATGACTCATGACTCATGAGAGCTCAATAATATTCTCTAAATTCATGAATCTTATTAGAGTACTCGAGTATGTGTCTTGAAGTTTGACATGTATGTGGCCCAAACTAATATCTCGGTATTATAATGAATGATACATGGAGATGGGGAAGACATGGCAGTTTTGTTTCGTTTCGGATAGAATGAATGGCATAGCATAGCATAATACAGCACCTCGTCTGGAAAGAATCCCCTTTTCATATCAGTCTCATCTCATATCTGTCCCTTTTCTATCGTTAGATTTGTCGTCGATGTTAAGATCTTACATTCATCCGTATTACTACGATCGTAGATTGGATTGAATTATATTCAATTTCTTCTCGTATTTTTCACCCATATTCTTTCGCCTCCAAAATCTATTGCTGATAATGTACTCGTACTCGTAGTGAGCGGTAGTAATATTTTATAGGATAGGATATACACTCGAGTAGAGTAGGAGCCGGAGGGGAGAGGAAAGGAGCAGGAGCAGGAGCAGGAGGGGATATGATATTTAAGGCTGGGAGTAGTGGAACACTTGGGGGGGGAGGGGGTGTAAAATTGTAATGTTGGTTGGTAGGTAAGTATTGAGTTCTTCAAAAAAAAAGAAAAAGAAAAAAGTTTGGTAAGTAGATCGTCACAAGTCAAGAATTGTGGTGAAATATTCAGGATCTATCATAATAATAATAGTAATACTCGAGTACAAGAAAGAGAGTATGAAAAACATATCATGATTCATGAATAAAACACAACTCCCATAAAACCCCCTCTCTAATCAGCAGTACCACTCTTCCCACTCGCAATTCTACTCGCTTTCTCCTTCGCCACAAACCTCAAAGGTCTATAAACCGGATCCCACATCTGTTCTCGAATCCACTCCTCCAACTCTGCATCTTCTGATGGAATATCCTTTTCCTGAGCCAATCCCTCCTCAACCGAAGTTTGAATCACCGCTTTTGCAATATGTACGCTGATATCGCGAACATTGACTACATCAGGTAATAATCCCTTATCAGGATTTTTCAAAGCTGGACTCTGAGCTGCTAGGGCTTTGACGGCTGAGACGAGCATTTTATCACTTAGTAATTTGGTGCGGGATAGGACGCATCCGAGTCCAATACCAGGGAAACAGGTCGAGTTGTTGCATTCGGCGACTTCGTATTCGTGACCGTCGTATGTGACGGGTGGGAATGGTGAGCCGGTGGCGATTAGAGCTTTGCCTTTGGTCCATTCGTTGATATCTTTGGGATCGGCTTCGTGAAGACGGGTGGGGTTACTGAGGGGGAAGACGATGGGACGTTCGACGTGGGAGGCCATTTCTTGGATGATTTCTTTGGTGAAAGCTTTTGGTCTCGTGGAAGTTCCAATCAAGACATGTGGTTTGACTTCTTTGATGACGGCGAGAAGATCGTCATGATCTTTGCCTTTCCAATCGGAATCTTCACGAGCATATGGAATTTGGGCAGGAGTGAGTTTGTCGCCATGTGACTTCAATAGTAGACCGGGCTTATCGACACAGTAGATTTGTTTGGCGGCTTCTTCTTTGGATTTTCCACCATCGGCTGCGATGGCATCGCGAACTTGGTCTGCAATTCCTGTTCCGGCTGTTCCGGAGCCAAATACTACGATTCGAGTATCTTCAAGCTTGACCTTGCTCACGTGAAGACCGGCCATCATTGCTGCGAGGGTGACACATCCAGTTCCTTGGACATCATCGTTGAAACAGGCCATCTCAGGACGATAACGATCAAGAATTCTTCGGGCTGCACATTGTTAGTATTTCGTCCTTGGCTAGGGATTACTTTCACTCACCATTTGGAAGACCAAAATCCTCAAAATGTATATAAGCATTAGGATAAAGCTCTCTCGCATTTTGGACGAATTTATCCACGAAATCATCATACTTCTTTCCTCGTACTCTAGGTTTCCTTAAACCAAGGTACAAATCATCATTGAGAAGCTTCTCATTATCGGTTCCACAATCCAAAACAACGGGAAGTGTTCGATTTGGGTGAACACCAGCACAAAGTGTGGTGAGAACAAGCTTCGCGACTGATATTAAGACACCACCAACTCCTTGATCACCAATTCCAAGAATTTCTTCTCCATCTATGCAATTTTAGCGTTGTCATAATCTTAATCACATAATCAACGTACCAGTGACAACGATGTAGTCGATATCTTCTGGTCCACCCCATTGAGCCATGTCATCGTGGACTCGATCCTGATCATCGATATTCAGGAAGCAACCATCTGGTCTTCTGAATACTCTAGAATAGTTCTCGATTGCTTCGCCTTCTGTTGGTGTATAAATAATGGAGAACATTTCCTTCATATGATCTTGGATCAACTGATTTGAAGTTAGAAGAGCTCGTTGTGATGTGTCTGTTTGGATATATTCCAGACATGATCCAATTCTCTTTACAGTCATACCGGTACTCAAAGAATATATTGAGATAGGAACTCGAAGAGACCAGGTTTGTGATACTTGGATAGATGAGAAAACTTACTCTGTAGTAAAGAACTTCATTCTGATCGGCCAATGAAGTCATGAAAGTATTCTTCGCCAAATCACCTGGCCTCGAAGTATATTGATCATAAGCTCTCTTGACCTGTTGATCCAAAGTTGATACATTTGAAGGAAGTAATCCAGTCAATTTAAAGGTATTACGTTCATCTGCTGGAAAACCAGCACCCTTGTTGAGGTATGGTGTGTTGAGAAGTGCGGTGCCAGTTAAAGCACATTCTAAAGGACCACTGGTACTTAGAGGTAGATTTCCAAATCTGGGATGCTTTTCATTCGGTTTTGTAAGCTTGTGATGGGAGGAGACATGTTTGTGATGAGAGGTATTATCGGAAGACATGGTTGATTGTTGTCTTGAGGTGGTTCTTGAGGTTAATGAAGTAATCCGAAAGTAGTTGTTATGTGGGGTTGATGTAAGATTGAGAGGGTTAAGATTTCGTTTGAAGACTTGAGCCATATAATAATAATCAAGGAGTTGAGATGGTAGGAGATAGATGGTAATATCAAGAAGAGTCAAGAAAATATAGAAACAAATTCACTTAACAATATATATATATATGTGGAAGGGGAGTACGTCTACCTATGGTTTGAATATATCAAATTTTCATGATGTGATGGGGATGTGATGGATACCGGTATGATGTACCTTCGATATCGCATTGCTGACAAGCTCTAGGTTGCCGGTAGTCTACAAACACGGGGTATATAATGACGTTGCTTGGCACAAGTTGGAACAGAAGATGGAATATGTGGAATATGTGGATATAGAAAGAAATCCCCGAAAAGCTTGATTTGATGTGGATATATATATAGACTTGGTAATAAGTTGGTATATAATTAGTCTCCTAAATACGATTCATTTCTATAAAAATAATGGAGAACATTCGATATATAACCAATATGATATGGTTAATATTTTGTTTTGTCAATTAGCTCTCGTCGTCTAGACAAATCTATAGCATATTAGGTTATGCATGGATGATTTGGGACAACGTTCGGAATGAATTGTAGGAAATGCTAGAAACATATTAGTTATATATATCTTATAGCTTTATCTTTTATAGTTCACATTGATAGTATATCTACACTCTTTGCAGAATCTATCTATATCAATCACAAGTCACAGTGTAGAACTTATACCCCTGAATCCCTCCTTAATCTGACGTAAAGTCTTACCACATCAATCCTAGTAGATTCGTAATCCCGCCTCTAGCTTTGCCTCACGGAATATGAATTCAAGGGAGTGGAAAAAAATTAATTGTAAACGCGATCCATTTTACTGTGTCGTCCAATGATATACCTGATCTACTCCTTTGATCTAGTCTTATAATAGATCATCACTTTAGCTAATCTTTACTAATTGTAACTACGAGTATGCAAAGTTATACATTCACACATCCTTGTACCGATACTTTCTATATAGAATGGAGATCCGGATATCTTACCGAGATTGATGACAGGCCTTCCCCTCAGAAGTTATCTGAGTACATCTTCGCTTCCTCTCTTTTGTTCCCATCTGCTCAGGATATCCAATCATTCTGTTGATTGAAGTCTGGAGTCTGAACATCCAGACTACATACATTAGTTCAGTCAAAATCATATTCGGTACTCTGGTCGGATTATCGAAATAGGTAAATTAGTACATTTAATTTCATATTTTATCAATGCTACTCGAGTATACTTAACAATTAAATGCCCAAAAACATCGAGTGCTGACTGCAGTCCGGACTATTGAACAAACGCATATGTTCTCTCCTATCGTCAACATATCTAGTAACGAAACCACTAAACATCTCCATCGACAACTGGCGTCTAGATAAATTTTGCAAACCGATGACTGTCCGGAATATGTTCATGCGAGACTGTCAATTCGAAGAGTTTTGATGTCTAAAGCTCTCAGACAGGCTAACTTGTCCGCTGCACCATACCATCCGAGCATCGAAGCAAAATTTGGGTATTAAATACTCGGTGGAAGTTGCATTGTTGACCCGAGGGAAAAATACTGCATCGGTAACAGCTTCAGCTCCAGCTCCAGCAACAAAACCACCATTGTGTTCACCGTTAGCAACCAGTTGAAGAGTGCGGGAACTATTAGTGACACAACAAAAATAGAATGCTCTATAGTTGAACCACTAGATATATGAGAGAGTATCGGCACCGAATCTAAGTACTTTTTACGTCTGATGGACCGTCCCATCAAACAAGCCACAGACTTAGAGGGTATGCAACGGACGTACTAGAAGCGTGGAAGTTGATAATAGTAAGCCTTCTATTCTTACCGCGTTAGTGTTGTGTCTGACTCTGATGCTCATAAAGTGGCAATAACATCAGAACCCTAGGAAGAGATTGTAGGTATTTGCTGCACTACACGGACAAAGTCATTAGTTTGAGCTTCTAAGTCGGCAATAAAGGAAAAAAGGATACTGTTTGGTAATGAAATGTAGGTACACAAGAAGCACACTCCTGTAGGACTCTCATAAAGAGTAAAGTATGGACTATGAAGGTCCTTTGGAGACAATCAAAGATCAGGACTTATTTCAACCTCCATTGAAATCGATGCAAGACACAAACATATTGAAAGACTCCTCAAAATAAGAGCTTCATCGATGAGTGTCAATGACAGCTGAGTGATTAATCAAGGTACAGTATTGCTATTGTAAAGCGTTTTGGCCCGGATGAATGAGGGAAGGGTTCTCCTTCACATCTATCGTATGTGTTGACTTACTTTACTCTGTACTCCAAGATTTGACTTACTTATGACTTGATAAGAATGAAGTCGACATTTGATTTTGACATTCGAGCTTTTGATGCTGTTGAGTGATGTTAGAGGTTGGAGATTGGAGGTTGGACAAGAAAGAAAGCACAATTTGCTTAAAATATTCACGTGATCAAAACGCTAATCTAAGTTTGATTACCGAGAACACGAAATCAATCTATCAAGCCAGCTTCATCATTTCACGCTTCACAATTCGCAGTTCCGTTCTTCATACTTGTGAATCCTTAGGTTACGTTACTATTACTTTCCTTCGTTAATCCTCCGTTCAATATACCTTTGAATTGAATATATCTGTCATTCAGTCGACATAATGGTAGGAAAGAAGAAGCGCGGTCATCCAGATGTCGAGGAGCTGTTGAACCGCCCTTGGTGTTATTATTGTAAGTTATCGCCACTTTATCTCCCATCGTCGCGTTGTCGTGATGCTAACTATACAACTTTCCGCAGGTGAGCGCGACTTCGATGATTTGAAGATCCTCATCTCCCATCAAAAGGCGAAACATTTTAAATGCGAACGATGCGGTCGGCGATTGAACACTGCTGGAGGTACGTCATATATTGTTATACAGCGTTGACACACGCTGATTGAAACTTTGCAGGACTCTCCGTTCATATGAATCAAGTACATAAAGAAACTTTGGCAAGTGTCGACAACTCTCTCCCGAATAGACAGGGTCTCGAGGTCGAAATCTTTGGTATGGAAGGTATCCCAGAAGATGTGGTTCAAGCACATAATCAGCGCATAATCTCAGGTTTCTACCAGGCCGAGCAAGATCGTCGCGCTGCTACGGGAAATCCTGCTCCAGGGACAGCGAACGCTGGTGGAGGACAATCGAAGAAACCAAAGGTGGAATCACCAGCGGATTTGAAGAAAAGGTTAGCAGAGCACAAAGCCCGAAAAGCTGAACAAGCAGCGAATGGTAGCAGCGGTGCAAATACACCCTTAGATGTTACTGTTCATAATGCCCCAAGTCCTTTGACGGCGACACAAAGTCCCGGTGCATTTGTAAGTCTCCTCGCGCCCTTGAGGTGGAATTCAATACTAATCTCTACGTATAGAATGGCTCTCCATTTCCTGCTCCTCAGAATTCTTTTGCTGCTGCTACACAAGGTGCGGGTTATGGATCATTTTCTCAAGAACCGTACGTTCAACCTGCGACAGCTTACCAACAGCCATATAATCAACAGCCGCCCTTTACCGGACCTCCCGGTCAATCTTATCAACCTCAATACTCACCTTCACAATACCCCCCTAATGGTTATCAACCATCTTCGTATGGCGCAGGCTCCCCCCCTCCAGGTCCTTTCAACGGATATCAACCATCATCGTCTCACGCTCCACTTACACATAGTGGTCTCCCCAATCGACCTCCAAGTCTACCAGCAGCACCTGGTCTACCCCAAAGACCTTCGTTTGGTGCACCACCAGTTCCATCATATCAAATGCAACAAATGCATCAAAAAGGTGGTTGGAATGGTAATGGATGGAATGGACAAGATCAAAACTCAGCTATGTCATCAGCTTATCCTCATCCTCCAGGTCTTAATGGGGAGCATTCGACTAACGCATCTACTGTGGATGACCTTGTTTCAGGCGCTGCCAGAGATGCTGATGATGACATTGACAAAATAATCAGGATGGCAGAGGCAGGTATCAAGCCCCCGAAGAAGGATGCGCTCGATCCGTCAAAACCCGAAACTCCAGAAGTCGTTGCTGCTCCTGAAATTGCCGATAAGTTAGAGCCCAAACCCGAAGCAAATATTGAGGTTGCAGAGAAGAAGTCGAAGAAAGATAAACCGATGAAGATGATATACTCAGATAATGATGTTAGTCCAGAGGAGAAAATGGCGAAGATGCCCAGGTACGCATTTGTCCCAGATGGAAAGATTGAAACATCCCTTGAGGACTCTGTTGCTGCTGTTACTGCCGAAAATTGATGCATTGGATGATATTTCGAGGACGCATCGCAGATTTCCTCTCAGAATGTTTCTCAAAGACACATTTGTGGGTTTTGATATACATCGGAACGTTTCAGGTATCTGATACAACGCGGTTTTATTCAAGGAAAGTTGATGGGAAGGAATGGTGCTGAAAACAGCTAAGTTTTTCGGGAAATGTTTGACTTTACCTTATTTGAATACTCGCCTTCTGACTTTAGTGTCTACATTTGGGGTTCAAGGAAAGTTCTGCTTGATATTGGTAAGTTTCGTCGGGAAGAGGCTTTGGCTTTACACTTTAGAAAAGGAATACGACGGATGAATCACTTCTTGTGGAGGTCGCAGAATTTAAAAGGAGGCTTGCCTGTAAGTATTTCAAGGTTGGCGATCTCTACATCATACACTTCCTATAATTCCAAATAAAAATTATTGTACTGCGCTGCTTTGTATATTTCGTGATTTATTACATTCTTGTTTGCAAATACTTGATATATTAGCTGTTATAACTTGGGTGACTGCCATAGTTGGTGGAAATCCGTCATGAGCCTATAGGTTCGGATGTTATACCTATCTATCAATGAAGTTTACGATTCATTCTTGCAAATCTGTGGTACTCTTGGGTTACATACATACCTTTCTTTCACCCACCATTTATCCATTATTGCAACTAAAACATGTGAATTAATTTACTACTCTACAGTATTAGGCTAAATAGGATAAGTGGTAGGTTGGATCCGCAAAATTATTTTGCCGTTCTCCACCCCATCTCTCTTTGGGAAAAGAACTACACCATCAAGTTTAACCATATTTCCGGATAAGTTCACCAGTACTTGGCTCGGCTTTGTTACACGATTGTTATACCATGCTGTCAGGCATAATGAAAATCTATGTAAGGATGTACTCTTATCCCACTCTCTACTTTGTTATGATTGGACCAACTAGCACCAACTTCTCTATTCAACATATGCATGTGTAACAGTTATATCTTATATCCTCTGATCCGTTACTTACCTTAGATTGTGGAAGTTTAAGTTTAGGCGGGATAACTTCTATATGGGGCCCCAGATATGTCTTTACTACTGCTGCAGTATTTAATTACTGCTCCGTTTCCTACTTCATTGCTCCCCGATTTCACATCGTATCTTCCTCATTTGATACATTTACTCAGTTATATGCCTTTCTTACATTTATTCATGCGGTGATCAATAATCCAATCACATGCAATTCAGGATGAAATTTTCCGATCTCCTTCGACTACCTCTTCTTCTCACTTCATTGTCATTGACATTCATCTTTCCCTTGGTTGCAGCATTAGGTCAAGATCCAACAATCACAACGATAAAACCGGCAAATGACAGGTCATCACCTTTCCGAATTGCAGGTAAAGGACTCAATGGACAGATATTAGTGAGTAAAGAGGAATGGTGGGGTGTATTGAGAGTAGCGGAGGATTTGGCAACGGATTTAGGAAAGGTTGTGGGGGAGAATTTGACGTTGGCTTGTTGGGATGGTAAAACTGGTCCCAATGCTTCAAAGGGGGGCCCCGGTGGTGGAGGTGGTGAAAATGGAATTGGTGGCGATGGAAATGGCTTCCCGCCCCCGTCTCCTCAAGCAAATGGAGGGAATAATGGCAATGGTGAAGGAGGAGCGGTAGGAGATATCGCGAATTCAGGTGGCGATACGGGACATAATGCGATAGCAGACAGCGGAAGCGACGGTGCGATTGAGGTACTTTATACTTATAAAGCGCCTACAAATAATGTTAATGTAAGTTTATTTCCACCTTTATTTCATAACAGTCCACATCTAGTGAAAATATATAGTGCCATATCACACCTCAATTGATCAACAGATGAAAATTCTTACACAAAAATAGTATACCCTAGGTCCAGAGCAAAACTTCACCGGTCCTACTCTCTACCCATCTGACCCTTCATCTACAGTCCTCATAGTTGGGACTCTTACACAATCTCCACTCATCGCCCAACTCATCTCGTCCGGTCTCCTTGACCCCAATCCAATCAGGGGAAAATGGGAAGCATTCATGTCTGTCATCATCCAAAATCCCTTACCCGGCATTGATAAGGCAATGGTAATTGTAGGAAGCGATCTTCGAGGTACCATATACGGACTTTACGATATTAGTGAACAATCAGGTGTTAGTCCTTGGTGGTGGTGGGCAGATGTCCCAGTGAGAACACAAGATGGCGTTTGGGCATTAAGTCCGAATGCTACGCAACAGCATGGATCAGGGCCACAAGCCATATCTGGACCTATGCGTTCGCCCTCTGGACCTCTAGGTGGGGGAATGCAAATTTTGAAGATTCAGGACACGCCGAGTGTGAGGTATAGGGGATTCTTTTTGAATGACGAGCAGCCTGCTTTGACAAATTGGATTAAGTAAGTTATGCCGCTCTTTACTATTCTTCATCATATCCAATTTACAGGAGTCACGAAATAGTAAGGAAGATACGCTTGCTAACATTGTTAGTGCGAATTACCCTCAAGGAAAATACGGACCTGGATTTAATCATTACTTCCATTCTCACGTCTTTGAACTTCTGCTGAGATTGAGGGCCAATTATTTCTGGCCCGCTCAATGGAATAGTATGTTTAACGTAGACGACTATGCCAACCAGCCATTGGCAGATGCATATGGAATTGTGATGGGAACAAGTCATACAGGTTTATTTTTCCTCAATAAGAAACCATAACATGAGCTAACCTGAAATAAATCCAGAACCAATGGCACGTGCAACCAAGGAATGGTCTACTTTTGGCAAGCAATATGGCGGTAACGGACAATGGGAATACGACACAAATAACGCATCCGTCGCCCCATTCTTTAAATACGGCGCTCAGCGTGCCGCTCCCTACGTTGCAAATACGGTTTTCACAATGGCGATGCGCGGATCTGGTGATACAGCTCTCTCCCTAACCCAAGCTCAAGCTATTTCTGTGCTGGGCGATATAGTGACTAAACAGAGGGATATATTTGGGGAAGTATTCGAAAAGAGGAATGTGTCGGAAATTCCGCAGGTGTGGTGTTTGTACAGTGAGGTTCAAGGGTATTATGACGCGGGCATGACGGTTCCGGATGATATTACTTTGTTGTGGGCAGATGATAATTTTGGGGATGTGAGGAGGCTACCGTTGGCTAATGAGACGGAGAGGAGTGGTGGTGCTGGTGCGTAATTTATTGGTTGTGTTCTGGGCTGGGATGATAGAGATGAAGATACTGATGTGCTGTGGAATAGGTGTTTATTATCATGTGGATTTTGTTGGTCCACCGAGGGATTATAAGTGGATTAATACTATCCAACTTGAGAAGACGGTCGAGCAGGTGAGCTCCATTTTCATTCCAATTCCATCCCAATCCCCATCCCAATCCCCATCCCAATCCCTATCTCCATCCCCGGTCATTGTGATAAAGACCTAACGAAGCTTCTCTAAAATAGATGCAACTTGCCTCCGCCCGTCAAGCAAACCGAATCTGGATGCTCAATGTAGGCGATCTCAAACCCCTCGAAATTCCAATAAACCACTTCATGGACCTCGCATATAACACACCTCAATGGGGTTACGATTCTGTTCCCACCTGGCTCAAATTATGGGCCACCCGAGAATTTGGCCCCGAATACGCTTCTAATATCTCAAGTATTGTGGACACATATGGCATGTTGGCCGCTAGACGTAAATTCGAGAATATCGATTCGACAGTTTATTCGGTCATCAATTATAATGAAGCTGACGCTATTCTTGCCCAATGGGAGGAGTTGGCTCAAGATGCGCAAGCCGTTTATGATAAATTGGGAGAGGATTGGAAACCAGCATATTATGAGATGATTTTGCAACCAGTTCTTGGAGGACAGGTCGTTAATCAGATTCATATTGGGGCGGGTAAAAATGCGCATTATACGGAACAGAAGAGAAATGCTGCGAATGAGGTTTTCCAGGAAGTTTTGGATGCTTTTAAGAAGGATCATAACCTGACGCAGAGATATCATAATTTGCTTGATGGGAAATGGAATCATTTTCTGGACCGTGAGTTTCTTTTCTTTTCTTTCGTAAACTTCTATGATGGAAGAAAACTCACAATCTATAGAAACTCATCTGGGCTATGATTATTGGCAACAACCCATGCGTAATGCTCTTCCTCCCATGTCATACGTTCAAGCTCTTGAAACGTCTCTGGCAGGAAACATCGGCGTCGGAATCGATGGTTCAAATGCCACAGTATCCGGAGATGACAATTATCATACTCTTTCCTCGGAAGTATTGACTCTACCTCCTATGGATCCGTATGGACCGCAAACCCGTTATATCGATATCTTTGCTCGGGGACTCCTTGGCTGTAGCTGGACCATCAATGCTTCTCAACCTTATGTTCATCTGTCCCAAACTACAGGTATAACCGGCGGATCAAACGGAACCGATACTCGGATTTACGTATCCATCGACTGGGCATCCGCGCCCCCAGCCCCAAACAGCACAATCGTAACCCTCCTCATAACCACCTCCTGCGAAGATGGACAATGGGGAAACTACGGACCTCCATCCGTCCTCCTCCCCGTAAACAATACCCTCGTCCCCTCAAACTTCTCCAACGGTTTCGTCGAAACCGATCGTCACATTTCCATCGAAGCAGACCACACTTCCTCCTCCACCTCCGTAAACGGCATTTCCTACATCACACTCCCCAATCTCGGTCGCACCACCTGCGGCGTCACTCTGCATCCTGTTCTAGCACCTACACAAAATACCACTAATGGCCCCGTGCTTCTCTACAACCTATATACATTTACCCCTACCCCGGTAACTAAAATCACGCTCTACATCTCCCCATCCCTCAATCAAAATGGAAGAGAAAGAACACTTAAATATGCAATAGCGATCGATGACGAAACTCCACAAATAGTTCAATTTGTACCGTCAAGTGTTTCAACGGCCATTTTTCCAGTGGGGTGGGCAGGCGCGGTAATGGATGGTGTTTGGGGGCAGAGTAGTGGGAATACGACAACGACGAGTCATGGGGCGTTGAAGAAGGCGGGAGAACATAGATTGAGGATTTGGGCAATTGAGCCAGGGGTTGTTTTTCAGAAGGGTGGGTTTTGTTTTTTTTTTGTTTTTTTTTTTGCTTTTGTTGGGGTTCAAATTGAGATAGAGGTTTTGGGAGGAGATTACTTGCTTGGTATATTGGTTTAGGGTGTAGAATCACTTAACTAATCTATATCCACATTCACAGTAATAATAAACCTAGGAGGCGTACGCCAAAGTTACCTAGGTCCCCCAGAGAGTTTTAGAATCGGTGGGAGTGAAGATGTTGGGAAGGCAAAGACAAATTTTGCGGGTGTGGATGTTGGGAGATGGGCGAAGGGTGTTGTTTGAGGAAGGGAGGAGGAGGGAGGAGGAAGGGAGGGAGGAAGGGAGAGATGGAGGGAGGATAGAATAAGTTTATATATGGGGATGTTGTTCTTGTTCGTTTTTGAGTGTGGTTGTTTTGGAAGCTTATTTTATGTATGTGAAAAATACCGGTAGATTTATATCAAATCTTTTCAATATGCTGTTTGTTGTAAGTTACTCTGTAGATGGTTGGCATGGTTTGTTTTGATGGCTCTGATGCCCTCCTGTCTACGAGTACGATATTTAGCTTCTGTATCTTTACAGTAAGTACTCGAGTATACTTAACCTCGTGAATTCGCATCCTCCATCCTTCATCCCTCATCCTTCATTCTTACATACTCACTCGTACTAATGGAATTTTCCAAATTCATTTATTAATCATTCATTATCTATATACTCGTACATATATGTAGGACTCCATGATATGTAATCGTAACCCCGTGTATTGTGAAAATTCCACAAATGCCATATGTATACCAGTATTATATCTACCACCCCGCTTCTATTGCCTCAAATCTATTTATCCCCTTCCCCTTCCCCTTCCCCTTTCCCATTCCCATTCCCCATCCCTCTCCCCAACCCCATCAAGCCACCAAGACCAAATCCCTTCTTCTCCTTCGCCACCGCATAATTCTCCTCCTCCACATTATGATTCCCCACAATCGTCAAGAAAACCTGATCCAACGTCGTCGGACTAACCGAATAATGTTCCAACCCTAGTTCTTCTCGATTATCTTCTAATTTCATGATCAAAGAACCTACTCCCGTATCTCGTAATTTAGTTTCATAATTACTAGTTCCGAGACTACTGATCTCGTCTTCGTCTGAGTCCACATCCACATCCAATTTCTTTTCCAGCCGACTATTCGTAGAATAGCTAGAAATCGGAACTGAAAAGCGCATTTGGCCGTGGAAAGTTTTATCTTCAATTTTGGCATTTTGGAAGTTATCATCGATCCAAGATCGTAACGTCAATATCTCATCATCTGTCGTATGAGGAGCGCTTTTTAGAACCAAATGAATGTAGTATGCACCACCAAATTTGCTTCTTAAGTGATCAGAGGTTCCCATGGCCAACATCCTTTTTGCCATGATACCTGCACGGTCAGCTAAGGCATCAGCCTCCTCCATACTATGTGTTGTAAGCAAGAGAGAACGACCTGGGACGACCGAAGCGAGCGTTTTCCACATAACTCTCTTTGCAGCGGCATCCATACCCGATGAAGGCTCATCGAGTAGTAGCACGGTTGGATTACCAATCAAAGCGATTCCGAGGGACAACTTGCGTTTGTTGCCACCGGAAAGTTTGGTTGCCATACGAGAAGCAAAATGTTGGAGACCAACAGCGTGGAGAACAGCTTGAACATTATGTTCAATATCTGGGACTCCTCTGACGCGTGCATAAAATGCAAGGTGCTCGAGAACGGTCATTTGATCCATAGCATCGAATTGAGGACACACTCCCAGATGAGCCCTTGCATCTGAACGATGTCTATTGATTTCAATATTCTCAACAAAAACACTTCCTCCGTTTTTGCTCGGTTGTATATCACCACGAATCAATGATATAGTGGTGGACTTTCCTGCACCATTTGGTCCAAGGAGTGCAAACACCTCGCCACGCTTGATTCCAAACGTCATGTTCTCAACTGCTGTTACAGAGCCGAAATTCTTGGTAAGATTAAGAACTCGAAGACCGTCGTTGGATGAATTTACTCTGACAAGTTCTTCGGCAATTTCTTCATCTGCAGGGATTTCATTCTCGGTGACTGCGGTGGGTGACTTTCGATGTCTTCGGAACCAAGCGACTATGGAGCCACTATCATACCAGAGGAGGATGGCGAAAAGGGCAAATATTTGAATGATCAAATATAAGATCGGTCCACCATATTGTAGGATTCCTCCAGGATTAGGTGCCAATTCTTCGCCAGAGCATGTAGTAGAAAAAAGATTCAATGCGACGAATAATGCTCGGATAAGGCTCCCCATTGGTGTGAAAACGCTAATAACGAAATGCACGATGATGAGTGTTGAGTCGATTTCATTGATTGGAGCGTAGGTCAAAGTGCAAAGGTACCCGACCAAATAGAGAAGGAACATGATGGCTTGTCCAGCAGCAGCAATTGCAAATGCGGAAAGTTGTGTGCTAGCAAATAGTGATACGACATATGATAGTAAAATCGAGGCCAAACCGAAGAGTGCAAATATGAGGAATAAATAGCCCACATGGTACCAAACTGAAGATGCAGCTGCAAAGATTATAACGCTCAATGCACTCGAGATGAGAACGAGGATGAAGTCAAAGACTACATACGAGAGCCACAATGGAAGTGATCGAACACCATTAGAATATTGAAGACCTCGAATGTTCCTGGTTCTTTCGACAGTGGGGTACAAGGAAAAGAATCCTGGGTATGCAGACATTGCCAGACCAAAATAGACGACAAGCTGCAGTGATTTACCGGTTGATGGTGCCCAGGGAATGTCGAATTGTGAGTATTGTGTAGCGATACTTATATTGGTGAGCATGATATCCATGACATTCTGACCCCATACAGCATTGAAAATATTACCGTCTCCTTTATACGCAAGTGTGGTTTGTGAACCACTATTATCAAGGAAGAACCCTGACGGGGTAACATTGGCAAAGTTTTCATCAATGTATTTGTTGAACTGGGGTAGAGTATCGACGAGATGAGTGTGACTCTGGATCTGACTTTGCGTAGGGAATAGTCCAAATAATAAAGGTTCAAACAAGGAAGCAAGCACTTCCGTGGAAAACCTCGATGATGGCCCAACGACAACATCATATGTGCCAACAGCGAAGAGATTTTCCGATGTAGAAACAGAGACTCGATCGGTTGGTTTACAGCCGACACCTTTATAACCTTTCAAAAAAAGGGTTACTAGACCAGCTGCAATGATCGGCACCAGGAGAGCAGCAATGTATGGTAAGTAATTCCGTCGGAGGACAGTGAGCCTCTTCCTAAATAAAACCCATGCTTGACGAAAGAATCCAATGTCTTGACCTGTGTAAAGTTCCAGTTCAGGACGCTCTTGGGTGCTAGCCAATGCGAGTTCTGTGACAAGCCCCTTTTCTTTCCCTGATTGCTCATTATCAGATGACAAATTTTGGAGGGTAAGACTCTCATCGCTTTCGGCTCGAACCTCGTCCGCTAACTGTAAAAATACATCTTCGATCGTAGGACCAGATAGTTGGTATTCTGTGATGTTTTCTTCTTCGAGACATTTGATAATCCGAGCAGCTTGTTTGGAGGTTGGTGCTACGTAAGTCATTTGACCAAACGACACATGTTGATTTATACCCTCAACCTGAGGGGGCTTTTTGTGTTCGTGGCCGGTAGGAAGGTTGATGCGATAACCACCACCTAGCTTCTCTTTCAACTCTACAGAAGAGCCTTCCGCTCGAAGAGTGCCTTTGGACAATATTGCAATACGGTCCGACAGAAGATCGGCTTCATCAAGGAAATGTGTCGTCAAAATGATCGTCCGTGAACCTCTTTCGGCTAGAAGGATATCCCAAATCTTTCTCCTACTCAGAGGATCAAGTCCACTACTTACTTCATCTACACAACATACTGAGCTTCCGCCAGTGAACATCATTCCTAGCTGAAGCTTTCGCTTTTGACCACCAGACAAAGTTTTGGATTTTGCACCACTCTTTCGGTCCAAGTCGATCGCTACAATCAATTCTTTGAGAGTCGCTTTGCTGTCGCGAGAACCCGTGGATTTGAGACTATTGAAAATACGAATATGCTCCTCGACGGTAAGCTCATTCCAAAGTACGTTCTTTTGTGGAGCAATTCCCAATCCTCCTGTTCCATCAACTGTGATGTTCCCACTAGTAACTGTATTTAATCCTGCGATCGCGTCTAGGGTGGTACTTTTTCCTGATCCATTGGCACCCAAAAGGACAAGAATTTGACCTTTGCTAGCGGTCAGACTCAAATCGTTGACGGCGACGACAGTAGATTTAGGAATTTTGGTGAATATAGCAGTCTTGAGTCGAAACCAATTTGGCTGGTAATGTTTTGTGAAATTTTCTAATCGAACAGTCTCCAAAGTGTTGGACCCAAGTGATTGTGCATGCTTCTCAGAGCCTTGACCAACCACTGTGCGGCCCTTGGACATTGTCCCGAAGAGGTAACGTTCCACTAGAGCACCGAGGATTGGATAGACAAATATTTGGATGATCAAGAATACCCAAAGAGCAATTCCAGGCAGGGACCAAGGGTTGTTAGGCGCGGCTCGTACAAGATTAGTGCCAATATTTTGCTTTTCATAACGAGCCATGAAAATGAGGAAAAATACATAATTACATGGAGCAAACAGTAAACTTAGAACTGCCACAGTTCCAGAATTTGTCTTGTCAATCACTTGGGTGATGACACCAAGTAGGAGCGTGATGATTGCAAGACTAATGCCGCTAAGTTGGGCTTTCTTGAAAAACGCAGCACCAAGGATGGAGAATGATGTGAGAGAAAGACCAGCCAGAACATGATATATGATAACAATGGCCATAGAAGTTTGAGCAAAAACCCCTACTCCTAGAACCACACCCATGATAACCCATCCTGGTATGTACAGGATATCGAAAGCTAGATGATATGAAAGTATCCTAGCTACTTGAGGCTCCCATCTTCGTAAATTTGGCATCATAGCTTCTATAAGTTGTGACATTCCAAGTTCTCGCTCGGAAGCAATGAAGCCAGTCAGATGGTATGTAACTCCGACCATACCGATCAAGAAAGCAACACCAAGTATATTGATGATGGCGCTTTGGTAGTTTGTTCGAATGGCCGTCTCACGTTGCTTCTGGGTCTGACTAGTATATGGATACTCATGAACGATCGTGGGTAAAGCATTCTGATCGATTGTTTTATTTCTCGAGGCGATTGCAAAATCAACAGCACGCTGTAATGGCAAAATGAAGAGCTCGGCATCGTTTGTATCCTTTCTGACATCAATCTTCTCACCAAATGCGCCATCCGCTCGCATGGTGTAGTTCCATATTCCCCCTGTTCCTTCTGAAGGCGAAGATTGGAAAACAATGGCACCATAACAGGTTGTTGCTCCTCTCAGACTACTTTGACAGATATCGAGTAATTCAGCCTCAGTCGTCAAACGTTGCACCTTTGCTCCAACAGCTTCGGCCTGCGAAGACAATCCAGCAATAACATCATCAATGTCTCCTCCCGTCAAACCATTATTCACAAATGCCAAAGTATTTCGTCCACCAGTCGCAGCATTAAGTCCTTCTGCTAATGATCGAATGGTGTGGCTCGAGCCAATACCGTAAGTTGAAGGAGGTATGAATAGGTTCCTGGCATAACTAAGGAAGATGATCAATGCCACGGGTAGTACAAATGCGCGTATACACGTACTGAAGGCATGTCGATTAAGCGTAATGAGAATATTCTTTCCGGTCAAGGTTCCTATTTGGCGTAGCAATCCCATAATGATGATGGGAGACTTTCTCGGACTTTCTTGTCTAGATATTAGAGAGATATACTTGAGCACATGTTTGTGTAGGTATAACAAGTGCGGGAAGAGGTATCTCGATCCGTTTGGTTTTATGATGATGGCTAAGGAATGAATGACCTATATCATCGCCGTCGAAAGAATGTCAAATAATCTCGTTCTTCGTAGGCAAGCGTGCCGTGTTGAGGCCAAGGATCCAAGAAGCCAAGCAAGGCTGTGTGCAGTGAAAGATGGATTATCACGGCCAATGTAAATGAGATGGATGGTATATAGAAAAGTAATGAATGACCTATGGTATATGGTATATAGTATATGGTATATGGTATGTATTAATATGTACAGAAAGAAAGGATCATGACAGCAGAGCAAGCAGAGGTATTCGGAATAAGGAAGACCCGAATGAAAATCCCTATAACAATAGTAAAAACCCAAAATTGAGAAATTGATAATCAAGGAAGGATGACAAGAACAAAGGGTCCAAACACGAAATGGATTCAAAATGATTTACCTTGAAACCCGAAGAATAAACGATTATCCAATCAAAAGTATTGAACTTTTGCTTATTAATATTACCGGTTTCAGCCTTTTCCGCCACAGAACTAGCTCAAAAGAATGTTAGCTCCTTAGCCACCACTTCACTTTACTGCAACTTCTCTTCTCTTATGTTATCATCCATCCATCATCGTCGTCGTCATCTTCGTCCTCAACATCATCGAGTTATTCATTTACTGAGAACGCTGGCCTCGATTGATGGCTACACTTTCAAAGTCTTTCATTGATCGATATCTAAAAGTTACTTTCTTTATGTAAACAGTCTATCTACCCCTGCGACATCATATTTGGTGGTGTAAATACAGTACAAGTATACCTATATGCCTCAAACCTCGCAGCTCTTACCGATTTCTACTTTCCTTCCCATTCCCTCCATGAGCCTATCCTTTCATTGTCTTCTTTCTAGAAATCAAATCATCAGGCCTTCTGGGCGTAAAGTTACTTCCACTTACTCACTCAAAGGCTGCGGAGTCGTGTTGAAGAGCGATTTTATTTCCTCTATTACTTTCTTTACGTTCAAATGGCATGCACCTCAATTTTGATCGTTGCGGCACGTGGTTTCATCATCACACTGGCGTATTTCCACGAGACTTTACATTGTCTTCCTGCACAGAAAGTAAGGGGTTTTGCGTTGATGCTCAAGGCAGAGGTATCTACCTAGGAGTTAATGGGGGGTTATAGAATCTGTTATAGGCCGGATGAGGATCTGAATAATTTATTAAATTAGATTTAATAGGAAACAGATGGGTTTTTTTCGAGACATTTCTTTATTGTATTTTGAAATAAATATATATTCTCAGGCTAAATCGAATACAATAGTTAAATCAGATGTGTAACAAATATAAAATAAATACATCCTCCAAATACTTAATTATCTTGAAAAATTAAAAAGTTGAGGTTATTCAAAAACACAGTATTAAAAATTCAATCAATCATTGATGTATTTACCTATTATATTCCCCTATAACTATTATCAAATTTCCATTCAGATATAAACTTTCGATAATTCAACGAATTCTGAATTCTAATGAATTAATTATAATGGTTCTAAAACTATACAGGAATTGTAAGTAAACGCTACTAGCTTGGCAAAAGTTTTGTACATTTCCTACACAGCAATTGAATAAGAAAAAATGAAATGGCTTCAGGCCTTTGTACTTTCCTCGAAACCTTTACATCTTATTAGATATCACTAAATAAAAGCCTCAAACCGGGGTTATTTCACTTCGAATTTGGAAGGAATAATGGATTCAACTTTTAATCTAACTTTCAACAAATAAACCATTTTATATCGAATACAAAATCTTAAATTGGATACAAAAATTCGAATCGGGCTTACAACTGACCTATAACAGATTCTATAAGCCCCCAATCCCTCTAAGATAGGATTATTGATCTTCTGAATATCAACAGATTTATATGATACATTTGCTAGATTTAGGTAGTGTGTTTTCATCAATTCTAGAAGCCATCATAAATTTCTTTCATTGATCAAATTTCGAGCATGCATCCTACAGTATTTTCACCCTATCATATCTAGTATCGTTGTTCTCATATACTTCTGCATGCCTACCTATATGGAACATTACCCAAGCTCTAAGTGTAGTCAGCAGTTTGAACAAATCGGGAAACTGACTGGCAGTTTGGAAGGTTGTAGTTTGATTGACAGTGTGAATATCAGTTTGATCAGTATACTAGTTCAACTGGTTGACTATTGACTTTACTGCAAGCTCAGAATAAACTCTTAACGGAAAGTACTTCTGTTCCAACAAATCGAGAGGAAAGTCTTAGTCACTCACTTCAGTACTACACTGCAATGTTCCTGCTTTTGCAAATACTTGTCATGTAAATACCTAATAAGAAAGGTGCATGTAAAAGTGAGTGGATGCGTGTATTTTGTTTCGTTTTTGTAATTAAAATTCTGGGACTATAAATTTAGTCAAGATCAAGGTTTATAACCTCGTAATTGACTGCCATTGGGTAATACTATCATTATCGATACCTGAGAAGCCTCATTATTGAATGTTGACTTCTTACGTGACTCCCAAACCTGCCCATCATCACTTTGCGAATTACCCTTTGAATCGAAAGATTGAATTCTCCACCATCAGTGACTCTGTTTCATACCATTTATTGATTATGGAGTCATTTTTGACACATCCGACCTGTAAAATGTCTAATATTTGGTAAATCATTATCACACTTTCGAATCTTTAATGCCTTCGAAGCCCCATCATTTATGCTTAAATAGTACGGGTTTCTCCCTCTTGGTTCAACCTTCTTTTCATCAACCACAACATCTTGATCTCGAAATTCAACTTGAACGATAAAAACACATTACGAATTCAAACTTACCGCAAATACAAACCATCGACCCACCTCTCCATACATCTTTTCTCTTCTACGCACATTAAACATACTGCCCGCATCTACCCTCGTCTACACCGTCTACCCATACAGACCGACTCACATCTACCATTTACTCAGAACGCCTAATCTCTCATCACGGAATACAAAGCTACCCTCGAAGGTTCGTTCAATAACCAGATCTTCAACCTAGCGCTGTACTCCTCATTATCACTCTCCTCCATAGATCATAGTCTCCAGCTTACTGACAAATGACGCATCATCAAACAGTCATCAGTGTCAACTTCAGCATTTTCCAGTATCACATCTTGAAAATCAATGCATACAATATGGCGGATCGATACGGCCAACCGAATCAACAAGATTTCCATGACTTTGACCAAATCAAGCCCGAAAACCGCTTCGATACCAGCAAAGGAGGTGCCAATGAAAATGGCAATATCCAAAAACAGATAGATACTGCACGCAATATTACAGATCGGAGGAATTTAGAGCGAGGTTCGACGAGTTCCTCTACTGTGGATAAGAATAAGAATCGCCCGGTAAAAGATCGAACCCCTCCCGCAGCCGATGACAAAGGAACAAGCACCAAGCGTCAGAAAACGTAGGACTCTGTGAAGAAACTTCGGATAGATCATAGCCAGACCTGCGCCTGAGAGTCTCGCCAATCTCCAAGGGTAAGGACATCAACCACTTGGGCGACACACAGAGAGGGATATTGATTTGGAGGATAGACGACACAAATCTTCTCAAAAGGTTTCGCGTCGCGACTTTCATATTCGTTTTGACATCATTGGTTTTTTTTTGGTAGCACAGGTTACAAGGATAGGCTTGTATATTGGTGGAGGATTCATAGGAGGAACCGGAGTTTCATAAAGGGAAGGGAAATGACAGGAACGAGTAAAACAAAATAGGCGATTTGCGACCGTTACACTCATTACATCTACATATCGTTAGTTTGGCATTCGTTTTAATATCTTTGCAGATCATAGCTTCAATACTACGATTTTGCTAGATACCTTTTGGCTTTTGGGTGGACTTTGTGAATGTTTTGTGGCTTTTGTATACCCTTTATTGTCAGTTATTCTATATCATGTGAAATCATCATTCTGTAAATATCGAATACTAAATTTAGTCAATAATAATTCCCATATAGATATTAGAATAAGAGTAAGGGATGAAGATAGATACCAGGTACTGATAGTTCTTCAGTCAAAAAAGGGGCTGGCGAGCTTATCCGAGTCTAATGAATGGTACAACGAGCTATAGAACTATTGCAGAGAATCATATTACGAGAATCTCCGAAGTGTGCGAATCACCTTGACTTTAGAGATAAATTATAGATAGGATTGGGCGCTTTATAGCTGCATTATGAAAAAACGAAATTAGAGTATAGTTGTATTATTATCTGCTTTATATTTCAAATTTATTAGTTATTATTAAAAGCCTATCCATACTTTTAGATTTTTGAGATTATTAATAATTCACTCTTTTCTTACTCGAGTAATCATTAATTTTATATCACTAAAAGTAAACTATATTATATTACTCTTATATTACGAAAACAATATTTAATTTATTTTTATACTATGGTGGAAGGGGTAGAGTCTATGAGAGGATGGAATTTATAGTGGAAGAGTAGAATCTATAGGAAGGGTAGAATTTATAATAGGAGGGTGACATCTATAGGAAGGAGTAGAATTAATGGTGGGAGGGTAAAATCTATAGTAAGAGGGTAGAATCTATAATAAAAGTATAGAATCTATGGTATCATACTAGTAGAATCTAATTATTTAAGGTTAGATTCTAAATAGCATAAAAGATAAAATGAATACGATTTTCGTAATACAAGAGTAATATAATTCACTTTTGGTAGCAAGGTTATACTTTCGGACTTCGGAAAATACTACATTGTGCATCGTGGAGTAATCCACTCACATGCCATCGGCTGGTTTGACAATCTTTGATCTTGTTGGATCATGTTGGGTTCTTGTTGGAATCTTGTTGCGATTTGCCTGCGTTGTTGTGTAGTTACATTTAATATTATACATACTTTTAGGAAACGCTAACATCCATCTATTTATCCTATCAAGACCAGGTCTTTGACAAACCTATATAACTCACCCAAAAATCAAAATGGTTCCAACAGAAGAAACCTCAAACTCCAAACTCAGCATAGCCATCATCGGCGGCGGCCTAGGAGGACTAGCCCTAAGCATCGGACTACTTCCCTACCGCGATCATCTCACAATCACCATTTACGAAGCGGCACCCCGCTTCGCGGAGATTGGCGCCGGTATTGCATCGGGTCCTAATGCTGTTAATGTGCTGGGGTTGATCTCGCCGGATATTTTGAAGGGTTATAGAAAGTGTGCGACGTTTAATGAGACGCGGGATAGGGATAATGCGTGGTTGACTTTTAGGTATGGGATGGATCGGAAGGGTGAGGGTGGGAGTGGAGAGGGGGAGGGAAAGAAATTGGATTGGATTTGGAATATTGGGGAGAAGGGGAGGCCGTTGGGGGAGATTTCGCAGGTTTTGGTGAGGGAGGGGATTAAGAGGAGGAGTTGTGTGCATAGGGCTATGTTTTTGGATGAGATGGCCGCGTTGATTCCGGATGGCATGGCAAGATTTGGGAAGAAACTATCAACTGTGGAGGAATTGGATACATATGGGGACGGTAAAGGTTTGAAGTTGACGTTTAAAGATGGAGAAACGGCGATGGCTGATGTGGTGATTGGTTGTGATGGGATCAAAAGTGCAACGAGGAAATTCGTGATGGGAAATCAATCCATTGAGCCAAAATTCGCAGATATCTATGCTTATCGAGCTATGGTTCCTAGCGACGTTGCAAGGAAAGCAATAGGAGATGATTTGGCGCTGAATGGTCAATTGTATCTTGGGTACGGAGGATATATGATAAGTTACCCAGTGGAACACGGCGATTTAATCAACATGGTCGCATTGAAGAAAGCGGAAGGTATGGAATGGAATAAGGAAAATTGGTTGATACCCGCCACCAAAGAAGAAATGTTGTCTGATCTAGAAGGCTTTGAAACCAAATTGGTACAATTGATAACGGAATATGGAACGAGAGATAAGTGGGGACTATTCGATCTTCCACACGCGGAAAAGTATTACCGTGGAAGAACTTGTCTAATGGGTGATGCTGCGCACGCCAGTACACCACATCTAGGAGCTGGCTCGGGAATGGCATTCGAGGATGCTTATATTTTAAGTCGTCTATTTGAGGGCGTCAGAAATAAAGATGATGTTGAGAATGCGCTAAGGGCTTATGATGCGGTGAGAAGACCGAGGTCGCAGAAACTTGTCAGGGATAGTAGGAGGACGGGAGATATCATCTCGTTTTCTGATGATGAATTTGGGGATGATATGGGCAGGATTCCGCATGAGGTTGATTTGTTGTATGAGTGGGTTTGGGATTATGATATCGAGGGGAGTTTACTAGAGGCGAAACAGCTTTCGGGTTTGTTTTAGTCGTTAGTTGTGCTTGACAAACCAAACTACTTTGTGCAAAGGGTCGTGGGTCGAGTGTGTGTTTGATGTTGGGTTCTCATCATTTATGGAAGAGATTGTCCTCTTGCAGAAGAAATTAACCCGTTGTAGAAGAAATCAGAAGAGAAATCGTCTTCGTACATGAGACTAGTGAAGGACGACCTGAATGTATTGATACTTGGCCGTCGGTAAATGGCTATATTTACAGGTATCCACATCTACCATCTAATCCGACCTCGGACGACCCATATATCGTACTTGCAATTGTACAACTTTTACTCAGGTTATCGGCGAACAGGAATGATCATCATGCATTCGTAATATGCAGAACTTGTCGTCGAACAGCTTCAATTTTTCAAACGGGGAAAGTTAATGGAATAGGTGATAGCATACTCGGTCCCCTTATCCAATCGATCTTTACCCCGTTACCTCTCAGAAGGCCTACTGCTTCATTATCGGTTCCCCCCCGTTATTTTCGGTCTCAATTCTCGGTGCAGTTATCTCACTGCTGCATCTAACCTCTCCTAGGTATACTATGGCCCAAGTTTTTGACCGTAAGTTTTCATAAAGCGGACGCTGCTTACCTATAACAATACTTTCCCTATTCACTAAAAAATGATAGGTACAACGATCAATATTCTTTCGATGGATTTCATGAATTCAATATTACCTCGATATCACAATCCCCGTGACTAAAAATGAAGAGAGCCTCACCTTCAACAGGCTCTTCATTTCCGAGTTACCAATGTCAAATGTGCTTATCCACATACTCCACCATTGGACATCTACGACGGCATGAAGCTGTGCGTAAGTTTGAACCAACCTACCACTGCTACTGCATATGACTCGGGAAAACATAATTGACGTTGGAACTCGAAATAGATTCTGGACAACGGCTTTACGGTTGCCATTTTTGTGATCAACGCTTTTTCAGATCGTAAAGTATACAGTCCACAAAGGCATACTCTTCACTACTGACAATATTTTAGAGATGCTGCCAGAAGACATTCAAAATCTTGCCCAAGTAGGGGTGATAGACCGGTGCCTCAACCCAGGCAAAGAGGAAGGCAGAGGCAATCATGCGACTCTTGTGCAAGATCGAAACGAGCCTGCAATCAAGGACATCCCTGTGAGAGTTGTCAGCTAACTAAAGTGGTTTGTACTTACTATCGTTCGACGGAAAGTAATGAAAGTCCACAGACATTGCAATCTGCACAAGAGACAGGGACTTCAGTGCAAGAATCGCACGGTCCTGTGACGATACAGTACGAGCAGACCAGCAATAATGCCACAGCTTCAGACATACCATCTCAAGATCCCCGGATGCAATTCAACTTTCTTCTTCATTATACAAAGCCGGGGAAGGGCAGCCTTTTGAAATTCTTCGGCAAACCAACGACCACCAATATACCTACTCCAATAAATTCCTCCGCGATCTCCTCATCATTCGTCCCAAGTTTTCCAGTCCCAAATCTTTCTAGCGAATTAGATAATTTTATGCAAAGTGTTGCATTGCCCATATTGGACGAGTATATTTGGAGTAGTGAGATCAACACTCCTCAAATTAACCCTTCCATACAATACTCGCCTCAATTGGAATATCGGCTTCAGGAACTCAGATCAAAACTTATTACCACCCAACAGAAACTATTCGAGCACTCTGATGGAGACGTGCCATACTTTTCCGAGGAGATGAGGAGTGTTTTGTTTACGGTGACTAATCTGGTAGATTTTACTCAATTGTTTTTTGATCACTGGTATCCCAATTGTCCTATTATACATCAACCTACGTATAACCTCGAAACAGTCTCGCTTCCATTGTTATTTGTTGTATTTCTCATTGGCGCAGCCTATTCGTCACCCCGAGATACAGCTAGCTTAGCAGTATCGTGCGGTGCTCTATGCGAGGACTTTGTTTTCGAGGACGATGATCTGAAGTCACTACTTCGTACTGAGAGGGGAGGTGAAGATTCGGCTAGTCTCCAGATTGTTCAAGCTGCATTTCTTGTATCGGTACTGCAGAATTGGCAGAATGGACCACTGGCACGGACGAGGATGTGCAATAGGCGGTATTGTGAAGTTGTAAATATTGCGAGAATCCTGGGACTTACCTCGTCAAGAAATATGTACGCTACGGGAATTTATCCTTTCGACTGGATAGGTTATGTTGAAGCAGAAGCAAAAGTTAGGTCAGCTTATTTGATTTCCCAACAACTGATTCAAGAAGCTAAATATCATCTAGGGTTATGACTTTGATATATCTTGTAGATTCACACTATACCCTTTTCAATAAATTTCCACCACGTTTAATGATTGGCGAAATGATCGGTGATATTTCATCTTCAGATGAAGCATTTGCCGCTACAGATGCTCTTGTTTGCGAAGGATATCTGATAGGAACAAACGAGGAATCGCGAGCCTCCCTAGCAACCTCGATAGAGTGGCTCATGGGGGATGAATGGGATCCGATTCACCATCATGGTCTTACAACTCTTAATTTATTCACATTCCTCAACTGTAAATAAACCATCTTGAAATTTTAAAAACCCCCTGCTAACTTTACAAGCGTTGAACACCACCATCTTCCTCCTTAAATCAAATCCTCTCTGGATTTACAACTCGTGTCGTGTCTTTCAAGCTCTCGATAGATGGAAAATACTGTGGGACAACCACCTCAAACAGGCCGGGCCAGATTTCAAGAGTTCTGGATTCTTCAAGAATTCTTTGGAATTTTGGCATCTTATAAAGTTAATTCTCCAGACCGAAAGAAACACTAGCCCGATGAACATTAATAATTTATCCGAGGTGAATGAAGATTCGATGAGAGCATTCAATGCTCTAATAACCAAATTTCGGGGGGTTAGCATCTCTTGATGCCGGGTGCTTGTATATTTGGGATCGCTTGAACCAAGTCATACAAGTGGATAATGGCACCAATCTATCACGATGTTGAAAGAGTTATCAGAATAGATTGAGAGAATTCCATCGGTTATCTTATGATAGTATATTGGGGATTGAGCAATGAGGGGACCACATAGCTTAGTTCATGGGTTCTAACGCGCCTTTCCCACTAATCTTAACTTCATCCATCTCTCGAACTAAACTTTTCATTCCCCTAGTCTCGGTGGCTTCAACCCAATTCCCATGTACTTGAGCTTTGATATGAAACGGTAACTCAACAATGGCAATTGCCTTTTCGAAATCTCTCGTATCAATGACGACCAAATCGCACCGATTAGCCATTCTTCTCTCTACCATCGCCATGACCCACCCATCTCCTTCCTTGGCATCTTTCGATCGAGGAATGAAAATTGGTTCTTGAATATGCGAATCGTCTCCTGCGTAGAAATATGTGGTTTCGTTCGTCCTGTTGTTATGCATCGCCAGACCATTCAGTCCTTGGTATATGTTACTCTTCCCATCACTCTGTCCCGGGATAAAGACATCCAAGAACACCCACTCATACTCCTTCGTCATGAATCTCTCATCGATTCTTGGGAACTCGCAAGGAACATTCAATATGACCAATGGGTCCGGTATCTTACTCCCACTCGGTTGACCCAAATCGAATTCCCAGCGCACAAAATCTCCCTTCGTATCCGCACTCGGCATGCGTCCGTCATCCGGTGGAAAGAACGGAAAAGCATTATCATGCACCCTCGAACTTTCCATATACAATTTCCCATCTTTTCCTTCCCAAGCCCCTGCCGTATGAACCGGCATACAATTCTTCCACTCATAATACCTACTCTCACCCACCTTCCACCCCTCCGGCAACACCGTCGATTTCCTCCTCGGAATAACAATAAACGTAGCATTCTTCTCATAATCCCACGCCCAATGCTGTCCTCCCTTCTTCATCCTCTCAATATCCGCTTCGAAACACCAACACATAAGTATCAACCAATTCTCCGTAATAGCACAATCATGAATAAACGCACACCACGGACTCTGCACCCACAACTCCTCCACCTTCCTCCCATCCCGATCAAGCGTATAAATCACCACATCCAACGTCGCCAATCCCTTCGCCTCATAACCAAACACCACCAGTTCCTCCGTAAACGGATCGACCTTCGGATGCGCAGTAAAAGTCTTTGATTGAATCCCCTGATCCCCAAAAGGATCGTACCCCAAAGTTTCCAACGTATCCCCATCAACCTCATACGGCAATCCTCCCTCCTTCAACGCCAACAACTTCTCACCCCACATCACCAAATTCGTATTAGCAGTACTATCCACCGCTCCCCTGACACACGGATGATGCGTATACGGATTCCGATATAAACCAAACAGCGCCTTATTAGCCCGTTGCTCCAATACATATCGCTCAGTCTCAATATACCGTAACTTCATATCGACAATCCCGTCGTGGAATCGGAAGGCGGATATGTGTCCGTCGCCATCGATGGGCACGTTTTGTGGGTGGGGTGGGATAAATGGGTCGCAGGTTACGCGGTAAAATGTTCCGTGGATTTGGGAGGGAATAGTACCGAGAATTACGAGGGAGGCGACTTCGCCTTCGAGGCGGCAGGGGAGGTTGGATCCGGCGAGGTCGCTGGCGGTGGGCCATTTGGAGGTTAGAGGCTGGGGATTGGGAGCGGGGGTGGAGGAGGAGGATGTGGTTAAGGGAGTATTATTTGGAGAAGGAGTATTGGAGACGGGGAGAGGGATGGCTGTTGTGGATGAACGGGGGTCATTTGAGTTCGTCATTGTTGGAATGGGCAAGGTCAAGTATTAGATGAATGATTGGAGATTAATAGAAAGTTAGAAACGTATTGCTGAATAGATAATGAGATCAACAAAGGCAGTAGTAGTAGATGAGAACACTCGCTATAATTATAGTAATCTTACAAACATAACAAAGCCAAAACATCAACTGCCGTCCTTATATCCCGTCATCGTCATTATCAATAATCAATATCAATATCAATATATTGATACCCCTCTCACAATTACATTACAAACCTCCGATTCTGATTCGCAGAAACTCCATAAAAACAGAACCTAGGCGGACTTTTCCCTCCACCACACATGTACAGCACTCCACCCCTCAACAATCCCCAATCCTTTCCCCTGGCCTTTCCCCCCTAGCCTAACTCTAATTATAACCTAGCTGCCGCATTCCTCTACATGCGGATATGTGGATATATGCCGCATCTAAAAATGGTGATCATTTTGCTAAACTCAAACCCTAAACCTTGAAGCATTCAAGCATATCGGGAATGTCCCTCTTTACCCCATATTTATGGGGGGAGGTGGTTTCTACCCATATTTTATATTTGAATAGGTCATTGTTGGGAATGAGAATGAGAATTGCGGTTGATGTAAGATTACAAGAAAGACATACATTTATCTGATGTGTGATTAACCTTAGCTTAGTTGATGTATGCGAGGTGGAGCAATGTTTGAGCGGATTCTTTGGCTTGCACTTTCGGTTGAGTAGAGTATGTATGTATGCATATATGTATAAACCAGTACTGTATCGATCGAAGTAATCTTACGGAAACTTCAAAAAGAGATGATTTGCAGTATCCAAGTGGACTTCTGGTATCAGTCTTGGATTGACACGTTGACCTCCACCTATAGCTCATCATCTTGAGCAAAATACTCATATATATTGTATATAGTGCATAGTGCATAGTGCATACTACACAAACCGAAAAGTTCCAATAATCAAAGAACGTGAAGTTCGACAACTTGATTTGACCACTATACACACATGTGGGAAATTCCCAATCCCCAAAATTTACAAGGCTCGGATTTAGTCAGGTCGGACTCTCTCAATATCAGCTAGTACCTAGCCTAGTCCTCATTTTCTACGTATGTAGTATGCGTATAGTAAAGTATAGGGCCATGGCTTTTAATAGTCGGCAGTCCGGCAGTCCGAGAGTTCGGCATGTTTGATATCTTTGATATAAGTACTTGAGGCTATCGTTGTCCTTCTTCGTGATTTGAAGTTGGAAGTTTTGAGCTAGTTTTGATCTAGTGGTATTGTGGTATAGTGGTTTATTTGATTTGAAGTCGGATAACTAGTTGGCTTCTGTCATACTCAAAGGCTATTTAAGATTGGAAAACATATAAACTTAAGTTTTCAAATGAGTTTTGTTGTTCACTCAAAGGTTATTAGAATCAAAAACTCTACACGTTTCACATATGAAAATATCTGTCATATTTAAGTCATTCACCCTTTTTCCAGTCCAAATTTCTTGGAATCGCTCTTGCACATACCGGTCGGTGTTTATAATCACAGAACCGAATTCCCCTTCGTCGAAGAGATCGAGGACAACTTGTGCTCGATTGCTCGTAGTGTAATAAAGAAGATCCGATAGAGCACATAAGTACAAGAGAAAACTGGAGCATGTATAGGTACTCCCTCGACAGCAAAATCCTCTATTGAAGTTGCAATATGGTATATGAAAACCGCGATGAATGCTCATTCACCTAAGCTTTAAATCACTTCATCAGAACTACCCTTCATTCCTGGCAGTCATCTGCTGAATACATGTTTAATTCAAAGCCATCCTTCAAAAATAACTTCAAGATCCGAGCTTACCCAGTTCGGAGGCTTGAATAAAAGCAGAATAGACTTTGAGACTGTCAAGTCTAATAACGCTGTCGAGGATTGTCTGGAAGACTTCTTCACGGCCTTGAGTAGAGGTGATTTGTAAAAGTGATACCGGTATCTCGTTCTGATGTATCTGAGACTCTTTGCTTCAGAGTATATCACGCACCCACCGCGCCTCTTCTGATTAGCAGGTGAATGATGCTATGATGACCGAATAGCAGCAATTTCGAGGGCAATAACAATCACTTTGTCTCATCCAATTTTCTCTGAATCGACATAAATGTCCATTTTCAGCATTAATATCACCAATACTTCTCAGCCCAAGTAACATATTTGTACATACATAACAGACATCTTTAGGAAACGGACGAAGAATTCACTTGATCTAATTAGATACAAACGCCAAAATAGTCAAGACTCACTTGAGTACCTAGGTATACTCGTATAAAACCTAATTCTTTCGCCAATCTCACAAGAGTACAAACTCTAGAATCTACACACTCGAACACCTCAATATTCCCAATATATTCTCCAATCAGTATACGTACAGGGCATTTGCTTCTTCTGCAACATCCTCTGCAACATATTCTTTATAATTATAATATGTCTCAATTGTGTGTGGTATACTCGAGTATGTTCGGGTTAATTCCGGGTCGCGAGTTGACCTCGATTTCTTGCTTCACATTCAAGATAGAAACTACAAATGAAACGTGGAAAGAACGAAATACATAGGTACATCAGATGATATCTATTTTAAGTAGGTAGAGTAAGTACAGCAATGGAAGTTACGATACAGTAATACAGTCTACAGTACTTGAAAATGATACGTAGAGGACCTTTCCTTCCTCTATTTCAATTATATCGACTTCTTAAAGTACATGTATTCCGAGAGATGTTGACAATAATGCAATGATACGAATGCGAATAAAATAATGCGATTACTAGCAAACATCCACTGTAGGTACGCCTATCTATTTAGCATTATCATATTCACCATCTGTTTCTACATCATCTTCCTCAATTCCCATGAATTCTCCACCCATCCCATCAAATGGCAAAACTACCTACAACACACACCTCCCGCCCCCAAAGTTGTAACCACCGACATATTCAACTTCCTACCTCTCAACTCCCACTCCATTCAATCACTATGCGAAACCACACACTGGAACCCGGAAATCGTATTTACATGCGATAACTCAGTCGGCGGTATAGGCAATGTCCGAAATTCAATACTGAACTGTGTGCGCTATGCGATATCAGCAGGCGCCAGCATGGTCATCCCGCGAATCATAATGAGGAACGCGAGAGATATATCGAAGATCCGAACGGGCGAAAGGGCCGGCATGGATTATATGTTTGACGTGCAGCATTTTATGGATTCGCTAGGACTTTCATGTCCACAGTTGGTCCTCTATCGTTATGTAGATGATGTTCCAAATCGAGGACGTGGAAGTGGTCCCATAGCACTATTACCCGAAAGTTTGGTTTCGGAAAAGATTCCAAAGACGGGGTTGGAACATCCGGAGGAATGGAGAGGACAGTTTTTTGATTGGTTGGGGGGTTGGTCGGGGTTGAAACCTGCGACGATGGAAACGCCGGTTCTGATTGATCTTGGGAGATCATACCTTCAATATCCGATATATTCTGATGGAGAGGAAATGGCACTTTCCTTTGGTAGTATCCTGAAGTTTCGGGAAGACGTAAGGACTCTTTCTACCACGGCCCTTCAAAACATGTTATCCACATACAACATATCCCAGGATATCTCCCAGCCAATCCTCCCCTCCACATTTTTCGGAGCCCATCTACGCACCGAAATAGATGCCGTAAAAGCCTGGCCAGCCGATAACTGGACCTACCAACGCTACTCAGTCCAATCACAACACTACCTACAAAAACTCGCCACCACAAACCTCACCCTAATCTACGTAGCATCAGGAAATAAAAGCGAAATCGCCCGATTCTCACGCGATGCAGCGGCATACGATCTCACGACCAAATTCATGTTACTCGATGCCAAAGATCGGGAATACCTAAATACATTAGCTTGGGATCAACAAGGCCTAGTGGATTACCTTGTTATGACGAAAAGCTCGAGTTTTGTGGGGATAGGCCATTCGAGCTTTGCGTGGAATATTGCGCTGAAGAGACATACGTATTCACAGAGGAAAGAAGGGTATCTAGGTGGGCCGGAGATATTGATGGATGAGTTGAGTGAGGTGTTTGGAGTTCCGAATATGTATCCGGAATATGCGGCTTGTTTGTGGCCTTGACCTTGTTGATGTATCGATACCTACCTACTAGATAGACATGATACATGGGATAGGATTTCGGCGTCTGGAATATGGGGGATATCTGTAATGGCTTTGTCGATTCTCGATAGAAATGCACGTGAGCTGCCGAATAAATGGATTGATCGTTCATACGCAAGACCTTTCATACGTAAACGCTGTTCAAATATCTCCAGCGCGATATTGATGAGGGGTTAGACACAATGTTAGAGCCCAGCAAACGATGTAGAAATGAAGACTCTAATCTGTAACCTAGACTTGGCCATTCAGTGAATGGGTATATATGTTGCCGGCGCGTCTCAAGTTTTAATGGATCAGTGAACCGTGATGGACTCACATTATTCCGAGGACAAAGCTTGAACAGTGCAGGTGTAGATAGAAAACCATCTGGCAAGACGAGAATAGAGAATGCGCGGGTGACCTTATATCATTTATATATACAGGGGTATCATAACTCCTGGTCTCCCTGTGTAAAGACAGTCCTCTCTTTCCCCAACCCAATCCCATCATCTAACCGTGTGTCATCTCCATCTGCATCGAAGGTGGATAATTAGGAACCTGACGCCTGTAAACCTTTGTATGTGTAGATATTATTTTACAGCCTACCCCTGCTCCATCCTTTTTACAACAACTCCAGTTCCAGTCATAATTTTCAAAAGAAAGTCCATTCACACCTTGGAGATCGTCGACATGCTTTCCTTCATATCGTCTCTCGCCGATCATATCGGTGACTTTAGTTCGGCCCCACATGGATAGTGTTTTTGCTCCTTAAGTACAGTTAGATTAGAATTATACAATGACAGAGAAAATGTAAAAGAGAAAAACTCACCAGGATGATATCGACAAGGTCCATCTGCATCATGAGGTTTGATGATTTTGCTGCACTGTCCGCATTTTCCTCCTTCAAATTTGATAATCTCTCGCTTCACTCCAAGTTCCTCCAAGGTTGGATTCGACTTTTGTTTCTTCGATGATGATGGCTCACTTGCGGCTGCTTGAGTCTGAGTGCGTCCATTCAAAACTTCTTCCTTCACCTCTGCCAATACTCTCTTAGCCCCAGCCTCAACCCCCCCTGCGACTGATTTATTACCCACCCTATTTCTCTCATTGTTCAAAGCCTGCTCCGTAATTTCTCTCAACTTCTTCCCTGCCTCGAATGCCTTCTCAGCCACTTCTCTCTTCCTTTTCTCTTCCTGTAGCTCTTTGATAACACCATCCTTATCAAGACTCGTTGTAACAGCACGCCTTTCCATTTCTCTCCATTTATTTTGTTGGTCAGCGAATTGTTCCCGGAACCACTCCGACCTAGCTTTTTCCGCCTCCAAAGCTTTTTCGAAAGCCTCTTTCTCCGCATTTACCCCGCTCGCTGTGGCAATCCCAGAGATCCCATTTGGCTGAAAATTAGATCCTCCAACACTTACCGAACCTTGTCTATGTGTGTATAGCAGTTCTGTGACCTTCTGTCTTTCCTTCTTCTCGCTCTCTAACTGCTCTTGTATCATCTCACTGAATTGCCGCTCCCTTTGCAAAGACTGTTCTACCGTATCATACCGCCCCTTTAACTCAAACAGAGCCTGCTGAGAACCACCACCGGGCATGGCTTGAAGTTCCTTTACTTGCCGCTGTAAATTCTCCACTTGCCTCCATTCACTTTGGAAATTTTCCGTGACTTTCTTCAACTCCGCTCTCGCTGTCTTTAATTCTTCTAATACCATAGCTCTTTGATTCTTTTCCATCATCAGTGCTTTTTCCAAGGAACTTTTATTCTCTACTGTTCCTGGTTGCTTGGCTATCTCCTTAATGTTGACACCAATATCATGGATCTTCTCATACATCTCATTCCACCGCTTCGCGGTTGGGCCAGACTTTGCAATCTCCAAGGCCTTTGCAACGCATCCCGCTTCTATGACATTGATGTACTCTTGAGCGACGCTAGCTACTGAAATAACCTCTGCCTTTTCCTGCACCAAGATCTTGTTGCAATGCTCTCGTAAGTGATTTTCCATCCGTACCTTCTTTTGAGAAGTTCCCGTCTCTGGTTCCTTTGAGAATGCGCCCTGTACTTCCTCTATTCTCTTTTTTGCTTCTTCCAACTCCTGCTCTGCTGTTTCTTTTTTCCGTTTCTCCGCGCTCAACGTAAGCTCAATTCTGATTCTTCGTTTGCTTTCTTCCATCAAAGCAAATTCTGCTGCATTCTTCCGTTTCTCCATCTCATGAGCTTTCGCTAGAAGATCTTGCGTCTTTTTTCCTTCCTCTTCTAGAGACCTGGCAAGCATGCGTTGTGCACCCAAGCTCATCTGTTGATTGTCTTTCCTCTTCTGCGAGGGACTCTCACTAGATTTCTCTACAATACCTCTAAACGCTTTTCTTTTCTCTTCTGCCAATGTTACCGCTGCGCCCGCATCCCCTCTTAGATTGTTATCCTCATTTTGCGAGAAATTTTCATCATCGCTACTAACCAGATCAATAACTAACTTATTTCCTGATGCCCTTTGTATCTTTCCCGAATTTACAGACTTCTCTTTGCCTTTGCCACCATCCCCATTCATGCTCATAGTCCCCTTCCCTTTATTTAGACTTGTAGTTCCCCCATCTGTTTTATCTTTAATTTCCAATCCATGGGCACTCCGCTCCTGTGCTTCCTCTTCTTCAATATATTTATCCCCGAGCAGAAACCTCAGAACCGTCGCTCGCATATGCGGGTACAAGTTACCACTAGCTCTGAGCAGCGCTTTGAGGGAATCGATATCCGCATCATCGAGAGCGGACTCTAGAGATTGGGACTGGGGAAGAGCTTGAAGCTTCGATGGAGGAGGGGCCGGAGCCGAGGTCGGGGGGTTTGGTGAGGGAGGTACTGGAGGAATTGACAAGGTCGTTGATGGTGTGATGGAATTCGTTGAGTATTGATTAGGAGCGGGTAATTGTGGGTAATAGTGAAGGATATCGAGCGACTGGAATGATTGATCTTGGAGTGGGCGTTGTGATGATTCTTGCATTTGATATTGCATTGGAAACCCTCCATGATTGGCATATGACTTTGAGTGTGAGTTAGAAGTGGAGTAATTTGGAGGCTGCAACCAGATTGGCGACGGTTGAGGAGAATAATGCGGTTGCGAACCAAGATTATGTGAGAATATTGGATTTGGCGGTGGTAGTGGTAGTAGTGGTGGCAAGTTTGATTGTTGTGGACGAGAATTGGGAGGGTAAGGATCGCGTGTGTGGAATTCCGAAGGACGAACCTGACCTGGAGGAGAAACAGGTTTTCCTGCGCGAACTTCTTCAACGGCCCTTCTCAGCATCTGGTGCAGCCTGTGCAATGTTGTCAAGGTTTGAATTTATTGAAATTGGATGGATTTGGATGAATTGGAGAAGATAATACTCGAGTACGAGTAAAAAGATTGGGGAAAGACGCGTTTGCGGGGTACAAGATTTTCCCATAAAATAGATTATGCATGAAACTACTCGAGTAGGTAATTATTAAGTCTTTTATATAGCGCCCGCCTCTTCTTTTGGTTAGTTTGAATGGTTAACCTCGAAATAGCAGAGTAGAGTCTACTTCGGGCGGTTTGGGTTTTAAAAGACGCATACGCAAAATACGCGATTTTACTCTCTCAAAAATCCAACCTATTTCGTCTCTCGACTTACTGCAATTCCGTCTGATATCCCCTGTCAAAACCGACGCCGGTATGTTAGAGAGAGGCTTGCTTATCTGCACGTGATTGACCCCCTCAAATAATCCTGAGCAACCGATCACTTGTCATCCCAAACCTTTATCCTACACTCGTTCAAGACGTCAAATCTGTACTACAAACCCTATCCTACCTGAATGTTCCATTTACAAAGAGTAGACCCGGCCGGTATCAAATAAGATTCGCTAGCTGATCATATATATGTATGAATAGGAATGTTGATCAAACGCAAGCCATGCAGTACATTACGAAGAAGAAGAAGAAGAAGAAGAAGAGGAGGAAGTACCGGTATTTGTGTAAAATTTCAAAGTGTCAGTCATATAGAAAAGGTATCTCATTATATTTTCCATTTACAGTCTCGTTTCGAATTCCTGCTCATGGATATCCATCTACTACTGCTCTACTCTAATTCCAACATAACCTTCCATTCTCATCAGGAATAGCATCACTACTAGCCACACTAGCAACCTCACTCCCAACACCCGTCTTAGTCCAGAACAATGACCAAGGATCAGTCTCATTCTTAATACTCAACAATCTATCGTAATTAGCTCCATAGAAATTATGTTGCCAATCTACTTCTTCAGCATCGCACTCGCCAAGATATGCACCCGATCCAGGAGTTACGACTTTCCAGCCAAGTTGCAGTTCGCTGAGTTTGGCACGAGCAGAGGCCATGGTGGTGAAGTTGGCGGGGTTGGGCCATGATGTACCTTGCATGGTGTGAAGAGTAGTTTTTCTCCAGGCGGGGAGAACAGCGTTATCGACTCCGGCGATATTTGGTGCATTTATGTTGAAACCCACGAGTAATGAAGCATTGTATCTTGCTGAGCCGGACCAAGCATCGAATGTTGCGTTGAATGTTACTTCATCCTCGAGATATTCTTGTAAGAAGAGCCGGGAGCCAACAATAGCGTCATCGGAGCCAACAGTCTCTTGGGCGAAAGATGTCGTCCATCCTTCGTATAGTGTATTATAGGTATTATACACAGGTGTAAAATCTATCTCGAGCGCAGTGAGATTGGCAAACCAAGGTGCTAATAAGGCTTCAGTTTCTGCCTGTGTGTGATTTGGAGCCCAGAATGGAGACATGATGAAATAGTCTACTCCAAATACTGCAGGAGGGAAAATGAAGAAATAGCTGTAGATTCCGGCTTTATTGAAGGTGATGAAGTTTTCCCAATAAGCACGAACACCGAGCCAGAAATCATCATCCGTGACATTGCCTCCGGATGTGAATGTGAAGGTTACGACTGTAACAGGGGTAGTTGGATAAGCTTTGATCGTAAGAGAAGTTGCCACACCCCATGAAGCAGGCCCACCTCCACGGAGAGCCCAGAACAAATCAGTGTTCTCAGTTGAGGATGCGGTAACAAACCTGCCCTCGGCGGTGACGATTCGAGCAGAGATAATCTGATCTGCTCCGAGTCCGTATACGGAAGTCATAGGACCGTGTCCCCCTCCTTGGATATATCCTCCTAGAACGCCGACGTCACTTCCTTCACCACCAACAACAACCATTCCTTCATCGCCAGCTGCCTTCATAATATCTGCACCAATCACACCGGTTCCAGATGTAAAGGCAGGTCCAGTATATGGAAAATTCGCATCGGTATACTCGACACCCTCATATCTGATATCCTGCAACCAATGAGTCCAAACACTCAAAGCGCCTGCTCCACCAGATTTACCAGAGAACTCATGTCCTGTGTTCTTGACCACGAATCTGATACCAGTGTTTCTTGCAAAATTGACGGCAAGCTGTATTTGTGCGACATTTGTGGCGTTGACTGCATAAGCGGGGTATCCGCCAAGTGTGCAGGTTGCTGTTGGGTCGGTGGTAGGCATGCAGGTTAATCCTTGGTAGATTGGGGACATCATGGAAGTTGGATCTGCTTCGTGCATGGTAGAATTGGTCCAATTATCTGTGACGAAGGTACATGTATCTGCATTCTAAGGACATGATTAGTATTGCTTCCAAATCATCTGGACAATTGATTTTCTCAATGACCGATATTTCAAGCTTGAGGGACCATTCGATTGTCGAACATAGATTCAGACATCAAGAGTATCCATCAAGAGTATCATTCGTATAGATTTGTCTCTTTAAGCTTTCCACCTTTCTGATGAATTTGAGATTAGGGTAAACTCACATAATCCCAATTATTATAACAGCTCGATGCGATCGGTATGGTTTTGATCAATGCGCCACCAAGTAGATCATTAAAGATATCCCAGATATCATCCGCAGGCCAAGCCGAATCTCCAGGAAAGACTTTACATGCCGATCGTGAGTCGGCAATAGTTGATGCATCTGCGGTAGAAGCATCGCCAACTTCGAACAGAGCTTGCATTGAAGTATTGAGTTGTGCAAGATCTGAAATCTTCAATTGGATTTTCTCAAAATCGAAGAGTGTACCGGCAGCTGTCGCTAAGGAAGCTGTCACTGAGGAAGTGCCATTCTCTTGTCTGGGAACATTTGTAGCAGCAACTAGGAGAGTATTGAGAGAAACGAGGTTGTAAAAGAGTGAAGACTTCATCTTGACTTTTACCTCTCTGATAGCCCCAGGTAGGATAATTGAAGGAATGAAGGTATATCAACGAAGGCTATGAAAACGATAAAGCAAAAGAAAAGACCTCCAATTTCTCAGGGTCAACTTACCTTTTCATAGCGAAGGCAAAATTCGCTATTGAGTGAAAACTATTACAGTGTGAATTGTCACGATCGATATGTGTGGAGTAGTCGTTCCGATTTTGGCAAAGGTAAAGGCCAAATTGAGATAGGACGCCTCATGTTATATCAAAAACGGTGTTAATGGCTATTTGGCACCGAATCATAGCAATTGATGTCCGAGAAGTAGAATTTGTGCAGATAAATCGCAATTGCAGATGAAATATAGTGTTTACTTGCCAATGATTTTCATGTCCGTCGTTCTAGATGAAGGAGCAAGGAAAGAGCGGCGAGCGATTGACAAGCATGGATATACAGTATTGCACGGGGCTAAAAGTATCTATTCGGTATGACAGCCGTGAATACCTCGAATTGAAAACTGGAGATGGGTATATGCCCGTGTTGCAAATAATGTCCTAGTCGCTGTGAAGTTTTCAGGATAAGATAGGGCAGGGTTTATGAGCCTACTTGGCCTCGATGGTTGTTGTACGATTGATTGCGAATCTGTGTGAAGAGTTGATCATGAAGGGAGATTGAAATAGATAACTAAGGTCAGAGAAGAGGATCGAAATACATATGTACAAGTCTCCTTGTATCCAAAATATTGAAATTATATTTCGTGTAAGATTGTGGAGAAAGTATGCGAATATCATTGGACGGGATCTCTCAGGGGTTCCTTCCATAATCCTGAATGAATACTACTCGGTGGGTCCAACAGTCGTATAAATCTTACAACACATTTTAGTTTATCTCTCAATATTTAACCAATTAGAATGTGTACATCGTTAAAAGATCAAAGCAAGAATATGATAATTCATTCAGGGGGGAGGGAGGGCGGCTGAATGATGGACGGGGTACCGTCTAAACTTTAAGTCCTATTATGGAATAAGGTTTATAGCTAATAAAGCCTGATCAAGATTAATATCGAATCCGGAATCTATAATATCTGATTTCACTTCCAAATAAGCCAATAAATGTATAATTAAGATCTACTAATCAAAACCTTATTCTATAATAGGACTAAGCAAATCCAAAGGACTAGTTCGGGTCTCTAGGTTCATACTGCACTGCAATTATTGATTCTCACATTTTGATTCACCAGCTTGAGCTTCTTCTTCTTAGTTTGGTACTTTCACCATGTGCTATGCATTCCGCTTTGATGGGGAAAGCTTGAAAGGTGGAGATATATTGTCTTGATTGCGACATCATCGTTCACTCCTCACAGCTCCTGTTGGTATGAGCAATCAATACTCAAGTGTTTGATACATCCAAGCAGCTTCCTGGATACGGCCATCCACCTTCATACGTCCGTATTGTTATATGTATATACATATCTCACATAATCAGTTGCAGGCTTCATTTACCTATAGCATTTATACCAGTTGGCAACTCATGCAGGTCCTACATGCCATGTATTAAAAAGAGGGCCAAGTCTGACAAGCAACACCTACTCAAACTACCCTTAACTTCCCAAGGAACGCGCACCAAGGATCAACGGGTGGAACGGAAATTGTGCCAATTTATTGGTCACAGTGACTGGGGCAGATTCAATGTTCCCAATTGCGCCCGCCATCAAAGCATCCTTCCCATCTCCCGCTTGGTTTGATGAATGATCTTCATGTACGGCCTTCTTACATGAGGATCTCATAAAATCCTCGAATCAATGATTCTCTATGGGGCACGTCAGATATCACTGTAGTGGTTGAAAGTACGGAAGCCGGGCAATAAATGCTAGTTATACACTAGTTGTACTTCTCCGAACGAATTTGGCCTGATTACTTGCTCTCTCTCTCTTTGATAAGTTATTCGACCCCCATGGAGCTTTTGTCAGACGTCAAGGGGTTCGATCTGCAGATCGCACTTCTTCGACACACCCCCGATAGCATTGGCCTCTTAAATGTCGTTCTCTAGCACCTAGAAGACCAAAATAGTAGTCTTATTCGATGTCGAACAAACAGGATACCAATCCTACGAAATCAGATGGGTCCAATTCAATAAGCGGAGAAGCGAATCTGTGAGCCCTGCCATGCTTGAAGTAGTACCCAAATATCCGTACATCATCCATCCATCAGTCATTGCCTGCAACCCTTATTATTGAACAATTGATGAACAGTGAGCCTAATGAACTACCCTTCGAAAGGTGATATCGTCGTCTGCAACAATGGTTCAGCAGTTGAACACCGCATGTTTGGTTATCATCGTCACTTTTGAAGTTATCGGCTCGATATTCTGCTTTGGGCGTTTAGCCTCAAGGATAGTATCAAAAACACAATGGAAAGGTCTGATGATGTGGAGTGAGTTGTCTAACATTCAATCAACCTTTGATTTATTGCTAAAACTTCTTAGGTGATGTTTGTATGATTATAGCTTGGGTAAGATAATGTGGAGGGTTAAGGTTATCACTTGGGATCAAACTGAGGCGAATATAGGTATTATCGGTTGTGGAAACTGTTGCTATATATGGACGTGAGTGAAGCATTCTTTCTTTGAGTTCTGGATATGTATATTTGTGATGTTTCCGTGAAGAAAAAGGGTTCATTATCTGGTTTTATCTCCCACAAAAACGTGGAGGCAAAGTCAGCTCTGTATGCTTGAAGAATCAAATTTCAAACAAAACTAACCTAATAACAGTCACATCGTACGCAAAATATGGCTACAAGACATCAGATCTTGTCCAATTTACAATCGATATACCGACTGAAATGAAATGGGCAATGTTCGATTCCCTTTGCTACAATCCGATCCTTGGCTTCATCAAAGCCTCTATGATTCTCCTATATCTTCGACTTGGGGGACTAAGACAATCAGTCCGATACGCCTCATATGCACTCTTGTCCATTAATTTTGCCCTCATGATATCTATCTTCTTCGTCGACATGTTTCAATGTATACCGTTTTCATATAATTTCTCCTCGGCAGATATGGATTTAGCGGCTCAAATGAAAGCAAATGCAACAGATCCAGGAATTGGCCCTTGTGGACCAGTGACATCTGGATTCAAAGATGGGAAATATGTGACGGGTGGGAAATGCATCAAAGTTATCAACTTCCTATTGGTTACTGCTGGTCTTACCATCTTTACGGACTTATTGGTTCTATGCATTCCAATCTACATGGTAAAGGACCTGAAAATAAGCCCACGGAAAAAGGTTGTAACTATACTGATTTTGTGCATGGGCTTAGGGTAGGTGATCATCGTGCCCCTTTTGTACTTCCTTTCAAGCAATAGCTAATAGCCATGTTTTCTAGAGTTACTGCCGTCGGCATCTGTCGTCTTCAATTCACTTGGCGTGTATTCCATCCGATTGTTCCCGACCCAGGACTAAACGTCAGAAGTACCATATCCCAAATTGAGACTGGTCTCGCGTTGGTTACAGGCTGTATTCCAGATCTTCTACCTCTCTTGCGCCTACTCATGCCTGGTTTCTTCAATTTTGCGACTAGGAAATCAACTCATCCAGCTCAATATCCTTACTCAACAACCTTTGGGTCCAAGAAAATATACCAAGGCCAAAGCGCAGAAGACAACAACATACTAAATGATACGGTATACGAAGATCATGGACTAGATGAACTAAAGTTACGTCCCAACAACGGGCTGGTGCAACGTGAAACTCACGTTAGAGGAGCCGCCAGTACCGATAGTTTGACCAGTAGTCAGATAGAAATGTTTGATAAAAATATAGACGACAAATCAGAGTCCAGGACAATCATCAAGACAATACATTTTTCGGTCAAGGAATCGGATCTAACTAATCCCAAGAAGACTTGGAGCAATGTCTGAGTTGAGCAATAACTTTGCTTGGTAGTTTCTTTGATTGGTCGATTGGGTACTTCAAGACAACGAAAGAGTTTTAACCCGCATGATTGAAGAATAAGGCCCTTGTTGCAACACAGTCGATGAAGAGTATGCCGCAAAGGGTATTTGGCTTCTTTCCATTTGGGCGTATCCATATAAGACTGCAGCCACCTCCATCTGCTTCTTGTGCTACCCCGGATTTACTTCACAACTACAATCACCCGTTTTCCGCCTCTACATTTCATCCCGTTCCGAAAGAAATTCCACCAATAGGGATAATGGTTCACAAGATTACCCCAAAGTTCAATTGTCAGCTGCGGAGAGCTACATATAGATATATGTGAGGCTGGCTTGGCATATATAAGAAAGGATCACAGTCAGATGTTGACAAGGCCGACAATTTCGAAATTGATCCTGGTGCAATCAAATTTCGCGTCTGCAAGAACAACATTTCAAAGCATTCTGTCATGGAGAAACGAAATCCGTTTGCCAATACTCTTACCCCGCAGTCGGTATTTGAATGGACCTTGGGGCTCCGGATAAGCAAGAGAGGATTGACCTTACATATTTGTACAAATGCTATAAATCCATATGTCCCGGCGTATTAGAAAAGGGTACTTGCATATTCATTTCTAGGGCCTGACTACTCTTCGCAAATTTACTTCCAGCATTTGCCACAATGTTTTTGCAAATCATTATTGTAATCTCTTCATTGGTTGCCTTCTCTCATGCCAGGAATGGTAATGGCCAAGGGCATACTAGAACCTGCATAATTCCCTCAAAATACGAATCCTCAAACGGGACAGCGGATGACTCCCCAGCCATCGCTGCTGCCTTTGCAAAATGTTCGTCAAACTCAATCGTGGAGTTCAAGAAAGGTGTTGATTACAATGTCTTCAAACCAATTTCCGCGAAGAACTTGTCAAATGTGGTCATTCGTCAAGAAGGCAACCTCCATCTCCCCCAAAACATCACCTATATTCAAGACCTGGTCACAACCTCAAATTCACTTACATATACAACCGCCTTATATTGGTTCGCGTTTGCTGGTCCTAAAATCCAATATAAAGGGTCGAAAGATGTCACCACAGGGTGGATAAATTCATATGGTCAAGCATGGTGGGATGCCAATCCTGTCAATGGCACTGGACTTGCCAGTCGACCACATCTTCTACAACTGAACACCACAAAATGGGGGTATGAATTATTTCAAATCTCGAAAACCAATCGCGTGGAATGTACAACTTTTAGGAAATAATATTCGGGTTAAAAATAGTATCATCGACTCCTTTTCAACATCCGGCGGCTTCCCATTCAATACCGATGGATTCGGGGTCACAGCTACAAATGTCCATATTTCGGACCCAATCATCTATAACGGTGACGATGCATGCGCTGTTCAATCTGGTTCTCACAATGTTCTGTTTGAGAAAGCGACGATTGGATATCAATCACACGGTTTATCCATCGGCTCCCTCGGGCAAAATCAAGCTTCTTTCGCCAACGTGTCGAATATCCATTTCCGTGATGTGACGGTTGTTGATGCTGTATATGCTGCTCGATTCAAGAGTTGGATCGGGGGTCAAGGGATTGCGAAGAACATTACCTGGGAAAATATCCGCGTATACAATGTTACGTTTCCGATCTTCGTCACCCAGACATATTACAACCAAGGATCCAACGCAACTCAACTTGAGCCTGGCCAGATAACTGGACGTCCCAATAACGCGAGTGTTAACATGGAGGATTTCACATGGAAGAACTTCCGAGGAACGGTGAATACTTTCGAGCCGGGTGATGGAACTTGTGTCACAGATCCGTGCTGGTATAATGCTGGACTGCCAAATCTACAACAAACGGAAACCATCATCATTGAATGTAACACGCAGAATTCTTGCAAGAACTTTAACTTGGTTGATATTGAGATATATCCTCAGGATTATAGAAGCCCGTCGGTCATCTGTATTAATGCTACGAGTGCCTTGAATCCAGGTCTGGGAATCGATTGTGTGAATGGAACGTTTGTTCCTTTGGGTTGAGCTATGGTATACAGGTACTTGTGCGAGTAGAGATGGATATATAGCATAGAACATCAAAGGTTCTGAATTGAATATAAATTAATACTCGAGGAATAAGAGTACATAAACTCACTTCCTCGAGCAAGACATCGCTTTTCTTAATGGAATCTTATCTTCTAATGGAAATGAAGTCCTCCGTGTCTCCTAAATTTGGATCAAAAAAATGAGGGACTCTTGAAATATCGCAATTAGGTCCATATAGATTTAATCTCGAATATGTAAACCTACTACTCGAGTACACAAATTGATATCTGAAAAGGATCAGATCACAATCTATCAAGTGGATATCAAATAATGATATTTTACCATCCTGTGAGTAGATTCTTCTTAATGCCTAGATGATAAGATACTGTATAAGTATTTCCATCTGTGATACTCGAGTAATCTACGAGTAGAGTAGTGCATATTCAAACGTAGGGCTGAAAATCACCAAGTGTACTGGTAGATAAGATGCATTGCGGAAATACCATCATCTTACTCGAGTAGACTAATGTATGTATGAAGAGGGCAGGCTGTAAGGTTAATGGGCAAATAACTCGTGAAACTAGACTAGTCTTGTGTCGCAGCTTCAAAAGTAGAATATTATGCTATACCTGTTTTTTTCATTTGGTGGAGTTTCAAAAGTACAGGTGTAAAGGTTCACATCATTCTTGTTCTTATCATCGCTCTTGACGAGAAGAGGAAACCTCAGAATGGGCTTGCATACATACAGTTGTGCAAAACTTTGTGGTTGCCCGAGATGAAATAGTTTCAAGAATGTGCATGTACAAAGTGAATGCAATGAAAATTGGTGCGAATTTTCTACTGTGCGGATAGGATTCCCACGCAACTCTCCATCTGAACAGGCCCTTGAAGGCCGAATTCGATGTAGAAAATGCTAGAATACGTCCGTTTATCCCACTATACATCATTCCTGTTCTGACCATTGCCATTCCCATCCAGTCAAACACTCTCCATCATCTGCAGCTATAATATAGCCATATCCTATCATCTCGAGATAGCTACAAGTGTAGTCTTGTCACTATTCTATAAGAGCCTTGACTTGTGACTCTCTTATGTACTTGATCTTAGGCGGCTTCCAGGTCTCTAGCCTATCATTTTCTTCCTGAAAGTACTTGTGTAACGGATCTTTTGAGGAATAAATTAGTTACATCTGCCTCAAGGCAATAATTGGGAATAATTAACGTTACCTGTATCCCTAATTCGCATCAAATTCGTTTTTGTGGCATCAAGCATGAGAGACCGAGAAAACTTGAAGCAACTTTCGTGACCTTCGTCAATTTCCTTCAAGGATCTTGGCAACCCTAACCATCTCTCATCACGAGTGTAAGCATCAATGGAGAAACCCTCATCTTCCAGAAGACAATAAATCTCTCGTAGATTGTGGCCCAAAGCCAACGAATGAATCATTAACCTGCTAGGCCTGTTCAAATCGGGCAATACCGACCCCAACAGTCGTGCATGGGTGCGGGGGAAATTTCCCTCTCCTGATACTATGAGACGTTTAACCCCAGGGAATATACTAAGGGCAACGTAGGCAATAGTGGCAATACCCAAGGGTGTATCTGATGGCTGTAGCCAGATCACGTCGATATCAGGATTAGTATATATGATTGAGTATACTAATCCGTTCCAGGCGTAATAATATTGATGATGCATAGTTCCCGCTGAATCAGGCTTTGGTCTCAATAGTTTCACAGGTTTCTTAATTGATAACACTACCTCGCGCGACTCTCGGCATGCCATAGTTAAAGGGCACTGCTGCCAACTGGTACGAAGATAATTGCTTCCTTGAATAGTTGTGCCGCATGGACTGACGAGGATAATGCGCGGCTGCAAAGCAGCATATCTCCAAATCTTCAACCTAACTTCTAGTGGAAAACTCCGGAATTGTAGAAACGTTCTAGGGGCGACGTGAACTGGGACGATATTGTGGTTGGCATTGATGAGTTCTACTGGAGAACTTTCAGTTTGTGTGGCCTGGTCAATGGTAGCGACGCTGCGATTTCTTTCATTATTGCTTGCGCTGTCATTTACCTGATCTGTCCCTCTTCGCAAGTACGAGTTGATGCGATCCATGGCGATGTGTCCATAGTAATGAATCAAGTTGTTCATGATGGAGTGCTTAAGATGGTTGAAGTTTGAAGTTTGAAGTTTGAATGTAGCTCGAAGTTATGTTATTGAGGTGGTTGAGAAAGAGATTGACCAGATCAAAAGGAAGTCACTTTAGCAGTCGATACTCAAATAACCTCAATCACAGACCTACCGTACCGTTTACCCCGCAAACCGTATGCAATATTCACTAACTAAGAGGAAGTTTGGGAGAGAACAACTGGTCGGTTTATTCACTTTTTTTATCAAGTGCCGTGCGAGCGACCGCTGTAGACGACTTATGAAGTGCGTCTATCATACACGAATCACATCTTGAGATTTTACCTTACCGTTTTCCCCGAGCTTCATCTCAAAACGAATTCGATCGTTTCTCAATCCTTTCCTTTGTGATAGTAGTCCTTGATTTTGCTTCCTCCCTCCCTCCATCTCAGTCTCTAAACATTTTCAATAACAATAAGATCAACAAGAAGGATACACCCACCATACCATCAACCACAATGTCATCAACACCCAGTGATAATTTGAACTCACCCAGCAAACCAAAGACAACCAATAGATTCCACCCATCTCATCCTCAAACCAGCAATCCCAGATCAACCACCAACGCACCCCACCATCAAACCATCCTCCTCCTCTTCTCATCATCACCCTACTACACCGAACTCCAACAGATGCAGAAAGAATATCAGACCTCTAGCCACAACACCCTCCTCCAAACACAAAACTCACTATCCATTTATCGCAACGCAGTCCGAACACGCAGTCCCATGGGTATACAGGCGGCCCAAGAGATGATCGATCGGAATGTACAGGAAATGGTAGAGTTCCATGAGGAGAAAAAAAGAAAATGGGATGTGGTGATGGAGAGGTTGGCGGAGGATGTGGGAGGGTATTTGGGCAGGGTTCTTAAAGAGGTGGTAAGGGAGATGAATGGGAGGGTAGGGTTGGTGGGGAGTGAGATGAATTTGGAGGGGGTGTTGAATGAGGTGGGAACGAGGATGTATGCTGAGAAATGATGGTTGGGGCTTGATAGTTATGGTGGTTGATGGGGTGGGTATATGGTGAATAGTAGAGAAATGGAGATTTAATGTTTATGGAAAAGAGGTTACTTGATGCATTGTTTTATATACATCGACTCAAAGGGGTGCAAACGTTAAGATGAGCTATGCCTTGCGGAAACATTCTACTGATGAAAATGCAATATTGGAGTGATGTCATGGTCGCTTATCAAAAGTGGTTGATGGGTTACCTCCGTGCGAATACGAAAGTATAAGACCGAGAATGGCTTCAGAAACGATGGGAAATCAAATTTAGGGAAGTGATACATCCAACATGAGGTTGTCACAGACTAGTACTATTCGACACACAGTGCATCACATCCCCAACGATAGATTGATGAAATTGGTATCATGCAATTGTAATGTAATTTATTCTTTCTCCACCCAAGACCTAAGATTGTGGTCCTGATTTGAACGCCAAGTAAACTCCATAGTTTGAAATGCCCATCCAGATGACCGGATCAAATGCTCATGCTCCTCATAGACCATTATCTAAAACATCATGCGTAAAGCTTCTTCTCGTAACTCTCCATGTTTACACCACCCTCGAGTTGAGCACTGGCGGTTCTTAATTCGAAACGTGTAGAACCGTTTTCCACAGCCTCATGAAGAGCTTGAAGACTCACTTGTCCACAGTCTTGGAGGGAGTGCTTCAATCCTGCAGCGAGGTATGGAACAAACTTGGTGACGGAACTATATAACGTTAGTGTGGGGAAAAGAATCAAGTTAATGAACATCATACCCTCTGTGTGCGACGGCACCAGATACACCCTGAGCGACGAGAACACTATCACCCTCAGAGAAATATCTAGCAGTTCCAGCGTTACTCTTTTGGCTGTCCTTAGCACCAGAACCAGCCTTCTTGTCTTGCATAGCATCGATGGAACCCATGCCACGGTATGCCTTGACGAGCTTACCCTCACGACTGACGAATGAAGTACCTGGAGATTCAGTAGTACCGGCCAATAGACCACCCATCATAATAGTGGTGGCACCAAGAGCAAGACCCTTGACAATGTGACCAACATTTTGGATACCACCATCGGCCATACACGGAACACCAAAGCGAGCAGCGAATGAGCTGACGTTGTAGACAGCAGCAGCTTGTGGTCTACCAACAGCCATAACTTCTTGAGTGATACAAGCACTTCCGCTACCCATTCCAATTCTCAAACCATCAACACCAGCGGCAATCAATGTCGCAGCTTGCTCACGAGTGACTACATTACCTCCAATGACGTCAAGATCAGGGTATTTCTCCTTGATATACTTGACCATCTCAACTTGATACATGCTGTTACCTTGACTGCTGTCGAGGATGACAATGTCTAATTGAGCATCGACCAACTTTTGAAGACGAATTTTATCTTCGGGTCTTGTACCAATTGCAGCAGCGCAAATCAATTGCTTGGAATCTGGAAGTTTGGAAGCCAATGGGTAATGGATGTTCTTGTTCAAATCGGATCGGGAAATCATAGAGACGAGGTTTCCGTTACTGTCAACAATTGGAAGCTTTCCTTTCTTAGATTTCGCGAGGATGGTGTTGGCCTCGACCAATTCGGTGCCATACGAAGCGGTGACCAAATCTGTAACCATAACACTTGAAACGGATGCGCTATCGTCATCCTCGAATTGAATATCTCTATTGGTAACGATACCGACGAGTTTGGAGCCCAATTTTCCGTTTTCTGTTTTTTTGAAGACATGTTAGTGGCTGCAAGATAAAAAATATGTTTGTGAATATTGAATATGGAACACCAAAAAATCATACAGAATAATTGCCTCCCCACGACCTTGCGGTCAATACGGATGAACGAAAGTTATTTGAATTGTGTTTTAATAATCATATGAAGGTGCGGAGGGAAAGAAAAGAAAGAGGGAGTACGAACCTGTAACTGGGTATCCTCCAAAACCCCACTTCTCCTTCAAAGCCTTAACTTCAGCAACAGTTGCCTGTGGGCTGAGTACGACTGGGTCAAGGATGAAGCCGTTTTCATATCTCTTGACTTTTTGAACCATCTCAGCTTGCTCTTCAGCAGAGCAGTTGTGGTGAATAACACCTAGACCACCCTGCAAAGCCATGTGGATGGCCATATCATGTTCGGTGACAGTGTCCATGGGAGAAGAAACGAAAGGGGTCTTGAGGGTAACGCGCTTGGTGACCGGGGATTCAAGAACAACTTCCGAGGCAGCAAATCCAATGTAACCTGGAAGAACCAAGAAATCATTGTAAGTCAAACCTCCGTGTTTCTTGGAATCGATCAAATCATCAATGCTGAGACCATCGCGAGATTCATATTCCTTGAGAACCTCAAGAGCTTTTGTGGCATCCAAAATCTGCTTAGTTGGGGCCAAGAATTCCGAGGCAGATGGCTTAGTTTCTCCGTTGGCTTGAGGAGACATCTTAGAAGTATGCGGGTAGGTGTGAGGGGGGAGGGGGGATTGTAAGGAGGGGATTAGAGTAGATTAAGAACTCGGTGAAAAGAGAAAAAGTGAAGAAGATAACAAAGAGATAGTCGACCTTTGAAGTACGAAGATAATGATTAGAATATAAATCAAGTGGAAAGTGTACAGTCGACGGGTTGAAGTTTCCTTCTCCCAAGAGAAAAAAGGGAAAGGAAAAAAAGAGAAGAGAAAAAAATATTATATGAATAAATAAAGCGGAGACGGAGCTTCCTAAACCAATAATGGCTCTAGCTTTACTTGTATAGAACATCATGGTAATTACATATGGAGGAAAGTAAGACCGATCCGATCAAACTTCAAAATTCAAGCGAGAAGGCTTTTTTTATTTTTAAAACATTGAAAGCTTATTGGTTAATATAGCCTCTGTGTTGTCGGGTTTGCTGGAGCAACGAAGCAGTGGAATAAGTATAAACAAAAATATCCCTGCCTTTGTAAGGACAAATCAATCTTTTGGTAATAAATCCTACACAAACAACAATTCAGTCAATAATGAATTGGTTGTTATCAAATGGATGAATTGAAACGGACGGAACTTACCTATGATTTGAACTATCACCCCTCCATATTTCACTCCTCTTCACCCTCTTCACTCTTCTGGCTCTATCTAACCCACTCTCATCCCTCCTTCTTAACCCTCCTTCTTAATCTACTTAAATATCTCCAAATCTACCTATGTCACGTATTTTAGACAAGTCTCATCATCCCTTCACCCCCTTCACTCCTCATCCTCCTCCCTCTATCAGTCGATAACGATACCACATATACCCAACATTCACTCAACACATAAACATAAACAATAACAATAACTACTCGGATCGATTACTTGGTACCGGTTCTTTTTCCCAGCTGCTTCCAGCTTGTCTGTTGAATAATCTTAATACTGGATGCTGGTGGCTTGAGAGAAAAACTTCCACATTCCTCAATCTTCACTACCATTTTAGGAATTTTGATATCCATAGGTAAAAAGAAAGTCGACATCATTTTGTTCTCTTCTCTTAATTGCGCCGGACGCCTTTTGGTTTATCACCACCAAGAATTCGATACATATTGGATAACCCGAAAACAGTTGCTACCTCACTCTCACTCCCACTTTAGAACTTGCGCGAAGCCTACGAGGCAATCTGGATACTGTATGCGACATTCGCTTGAAAACATATACTCGAGGAGTGAATGAATGATCGGTGACTCGGAAAACCTTCTGCGGCTGTCTTTCCTTTTGGTGCGCCTTCAATCAATACTTTTCGTCTTTTTGTCGTAATGTCGTACCGTCATTTATTACGACAAACACAACCCGATTCCATCGATACTGGTAATGCAAATACGACCAAGAGGGCACCTTCAAACGCATCGACAGCATCAAGTGGTTATTCCAATTCTTCTGGTATCTATGAATTAAGTCGCACAAGTACGCTATCATCAACGGCATCGAGTGGATACGGGAGCCACAGGAGAGGATTGAGTGAAGCTACCGGAATGTATAGTTCTTCGGAAAATCGTATTGGGAAGGGGAGTATCGAATCGAGTCCAGATAGCGCATACAAAAACGTCAGAAAATCTTTGCGACCACTTCCCCAACCTCCAGGTCCAACTTCACCTGAACGAGATAAGACGCCAGTCCAACATAATCGCGGTAAAAGTATCGATGTGATGAAGAATACCTTTCAACCACATTCCAGAACACAAAGTGTAGACGTGCAGAAGGGTCCCATTCAACAACACAATCGCGGGAAGAGTATCGATGTATCCAAATTGTCGATGTTTGAGTCTCCAATCCACTCGCAAATGAGCACAGCAACAAGTCCGACGCGCCGTCCACCGACGATTCGACCCAATTCTATGTTATTGAGTCGTTCCGATTCGATCAGTGTTGGAGGAGGAGCTCTTTCAAAACATGGGCCGTTACATTTACACACACCCCTCACAAGACCTGAGCTCCAAAGCTTTGAACGATCGACGACGAGTCAACTACGAAACCTTTCGAAATTTGCGCAATCTGCAACTCCTGACGATTTTACCATTACATCACCAGAACAAGAGGTAGTTGGACTACATGGACGACGTAGACTGCAGCGTAGCGCTATTTCGAAAGGCAAGACTGGCACATTGCATAAAACTACGGGAGGCTATGGCTGGGAGGGACGAAATTGGATGGACAAGCAACGACAATTTTTACAAGCTTATGAATATCTTTGTCATATTGGAGAAGCTAAGGAATGGATTGAGGATATATTGAAACGAGAAATTCCACCAACTGTGCAACTCGAACAAACCTTGAGGGACGGCGTTACATTGGCAGAGGTAGTGGAGGCACTATATCCAGAGCGGCGCATACGAATATTCAGGAATCCAAAATTACAAGCTCGACATTGGGACAACGTTGCTCAGTTCTTTCGATTTCTTGACGAAGTTCAACTACCAGAGCTTTTTCGATTCGAGCTCATCGATCTGTACGAAAAGAAGAACATCCCCAAGGTCATATATTGTATACACGCTTTAAGTTGGCTACTATTTAGAAAAGGCATCGTGGACTTCAGAATCGGAAATCTTGTTGGACAACTGGAATTCGAAGACCATGAGTTGGAAGAAATGCAAAAAGGATTGGACAAGGCGGGGGTTAGCATGCCAAGTTTTGGAAATATGGGAGCAGACTTTGGAGTCCCTGAGCCAGAGCCAGAGCCTGAACCAGTAGAAACTGAGGATGAGCGAACCGATCGAGAGCTTGGCGAAACCGAGGCAACGATAGTGGAATTACAGGCACAATTGCGTGGAGCCTGTATGCGAATGCACCTTGGGAAAACAATGCAGGGGCTTTGGGATACCGAAGACTGGCTCATCGAGCTTCAATCGATGATTCGTGGAGATTTTACACGGCAGATCGTGGAGTATCGTTTGAATATGAAAAGATTTGCAGTAAATTTACAAAGCCATGCACGGGGATTTTTGGTGCGACGAAGCCAATCGAGTCAGGAGAAATTCTGGAAAAGCCGTGAAGGAGATGTGCAGAAGATTCAAAGTCTATTCAGGGCGAAGAAAGCCGGGCAAGAAGTCCGAGATGAGGTATGCATGATGCGGTCCGCCTTGCAGCAGTCAGAATTTGTTGTCAAAGATTTCCAGTCCAGCATTCGTGGCTTTCTTGCTCGAAATAAGGTAGTGGCTCAACAGAAGGAAACCAAGTCTGTGGCCGTATCAACCCCGGTATTGAACCTGCAAGCTGCAGTGAGGGGTATGCTTGTGAGGAAGAAGATGATGGTCCAAGAGAAAAAAATAGCGTCCCTCGCCGTATCAGCCCCAGTGTCAAATCTACAAGCTGCGGTGAGGGGTATGCTTATGAGAAAGAAGATGATGGACCAAGAAGAAGAGATGACTTCCATTGCTGTAGCTGCCCCAGTGTCAACTCTGCAAGCTGCAGTGAGAGGTATGCTCGTGAGAAAGAAGATGATGGATCAAGAAGATGAGATGACATCCGTCACTGCAGACGCCCCAGTGTCAAATCTACAAGCTGCGGTGAGGGGTATGCTTGTGAGGAAGAAGATGGTAGCTCAAGAAAAAGAAACATCATCCATAGCTGTGTCAACTCCAGTGTTAATTTTGCAGGCTGCAATGAGAGGAATGCTTCTCAGACAGAATGTTGCAGACGACCAAGAAGGCCTTGATCGTGAACTGCCTTCGATTATTACGGTTCAAGGTTTTGCGAGGGCCCTGCTGACAAGAACCCAGATTTCTCAACAACAGGAAGCATTGCATGCATGCTCACCAATTTGGGAACACCTACAAGCGATTACGAGGGCGGGCACACTCAGAAATGAGTTATCCGAAACACATCAAGCATTGAAAAGCCACTCTGAAAGCATATCGAATCTTCAAGCCTTCGTTCGTGCTGGAGCGATTCGCCGCGATGTCACTGAGACTTTGTCTGGCTTGGAGGAAGACGAATCATCGATACTAGAGCTTCAAAGTCTAATTCGTGCTGGAGCGATTCGCCGCGATGTCACTGAGACTTTGTCTGGCTTGGAGGAAGACGAATCATCGATACTAGAGCTTCAAAGTCTAATTCGTGCTGGAGCGATTCGCCGCGATGTCACTGAGACTTTGTCTGGCTTGGAGGAAGACGAATCATCGATACTAGAACTTCAAAGCCTAATTCGTGCCATGCTTCTTCGACGTTCGGTTGAGGATGATTATGAAGCTCTTGTTGCAGAAGTCTCGGCAATCACAGATCTTCAATCTATGGTACGAGCTGGTATTTTAAGACAGAAGACGGAAATGACCTTGGACGATCTTCAGGCGAACGAAGAAGAAATAATACAATTACAAGCCTTATCCCGGGCTGTGTTACTTCGTAACGATATCGAGGGAGTGCTGGGAGAATTAGAGTCCGAAGAGTACGCCATTGCTGCGATGCAATCAGCAGCCAAAGCTACTTTGGTCCGAGCCGCTTTCGTTGAGAAACAGCGCTTCTTCAAGGAGAACATGGAAAAGGTTGTCAAAATACAGAGCTTCATCCGTGGTCGCCTACAAGGCGAGGCTTACAAGAGTTTGACGACTGGCAAGAACCCTCCAGTCAACACCGTCAAGAACTTCGTCCACCTACTCAATGATAGTGATTTCGACTTCAACGAAGAAATTGAATTCGAGCGAATGCGAAAGACTGTCGTACAGCAAGTTCGACAAAACGAGATGGCAGAGCAGTACATTGATCAGCTGGATATCAAGATTGCCCTTCTGGTCAAGAACAAGATTACACTGGATGAAGTTGTCAAGCATCAGCGAAATTTTGGCGGACACTCTGGAAATGTTCTCGTCAATAACTCCTTAGCGTCAGGGAATCAATTCGATTTGAAAGCGCTCAACAAAAATTCGAGGAAGAAGCTCGAGTTGTACCAACAACTCTTTTTCAACTTGCAAACCCAACCTCAATACCTTGCCAGGCTTTTCCAACGAATCCGAGAACAAGGCACTGCCGAGAAAGACTGTAAACGAATTGAGACCTTGATGATGGGTTTGTTCGGATACGCACAAAAGCGCCGTGAAGAGTATTATCTGCTCAAGTTGATTGCTCGTTCTGCTAGAGAAGAAATCGAACACTTCACCTCCGTTCAAGACTTCCTCCGTGGCAATTTCTTTTGGACAAAACTTCTAGCCAACTATACTCGTTCGCCTCGTGATAGGAAGTTCCTTCGCGATTTGCTAGGCCCTCTTATCATGGAAAACATTATTGATGATCCTGCACTCGACCTCGAAAGTGATCCAATGCAAATCTATCGCTCGGTTATCAACAACGAAGAGCTCCGCACTGGTAGGCCAAGTCAAAGAGCATTGGAGATTCCTCGAGATCAGGCAATCAAAGATCCAGAAACTCGGGATATGTTCATCGATCATTTGCGAGATTTGAGAGAAATCTCCGATCTTATCATGCTTGCCCTAGAGAACCTCCTACATAGAATGCCTTACGGTGTTCGCTTCATTTGTCTTCAAATCTTTGAGGGCCTTTGTCAACAATTTCCTCGAGAACCTCAACGAAATCTCTTACAGCTTGTTGGTAATTGGCTCTTCAAATTTTACCTATATCCGGCATTGACCACTCCTGAGTCTATGGGGGTAGTGGAAAGACAGCTCACCCCGCTGCAAAAGCGTAATCTGGGCGAAGTTGCCAAAGTCCTGGGCCAAATATCGTCTGGAAGGTTGTTTGGTGGCGAAAACATGTTCTTGCAGCCCTTGAATGCCTACGTCACTGATGCCATAACACGAATCACCGATATCTTCTCTAACATAATTTCAGTCGCAGATGCAGAAAGCACCTTCGATATTGATGAGTTCAATGATCTTTATGCACGTACGAAACCTACTCTATACATTAAGATGGCCGATATTTTCGCAATTCACAACCTGATATGTGACGATCTGCCACAAATTTGTCCAAACCGCGATGATGTACTTCGAGAAATTATCCAAGAGCTTGGTAGCGCTAAAAACAATGAGTCCGAAATGCTGGGTGTCTCCTCTACCGAGATCCAGATGACTTTGAACCCCAAACTTCACGACATGGACGACCCAGAGGCTGAAGTAAAAGCACTTTTCATGGAGACTAAGCGCTGCATTCTGTACATCATTCGAGTTCAATCTGGCCCAAACCTCATGGAAATTCTCGTACGACCAATATCACCGGAAGACGATCAAAAATGGCACGATTTACTCCGGGAGGAATTTTCTGCAGACAGCAAGAGTCGCGGGGCATACTCTGATGTTAATACTTTGACGGATATTAAATCGATGTCTTACTGGGAATTGAAGCGAACTGCTCTGGAGAACATTATGAGGCTCGAACAACTTGGTAGAATTTCAAGACAAAACTTCTACCAGGACATTCTCAATGCCATCGCCGTTGATATTCGCACCAAGAGCAGACGTCGTGTTCAGCGACAGAGAGAATTGGAAGGCGTCAAGATGACATTAGGGAATTTGGGCGAGAAGGCAGATTGGCTTGAGTCTCAGAGAAAGAGTTACGATGACTACATCGAACAAGCTATGATGACTCTGCAAAAAAAAGGGTATGGTGTCTCACTCTACGTACTCGATGCAATGCTAATCATTTAACTCAATAGGAAGAAACGTTTCCTTATGCCTTTTTCCAAACAATATAACCACGAAAAGGAACTCGAGCGCAGTGGTCGCACATACAAATTCGGCTCTTTCAAATACTCGGCTAGAACTCTGTCAGACAAAGGCGTACTGGTCGCTTGGAAAGGATACCCTGAACGCGAATGGGAAAAGATCAATCTTACCATTTCCTGTGATCAAGTCGGTGTCTTTTCCATTGAGGGTAGCAAAGGCAGCATTGTCATTACTGGTGCTATGGCTCAAGTTCCCATGGACTCGCTACTGGCCGCACAATTCGCAAATCATCAGTATATGGATATGTTTGAGGGTGCGATGAGGTTGAATGTTAACCTGTTCCTGCATTTGTTGTACAGAAAGTTCTATAGAACTGAGTGATGTGAATGATCGAATCTAGGCGCGACCAGGGTTGCAAGGGAAGTGGTCATTTGAAAAATGAGAATGAGGTTGGGTGGATAGATGATTATCCTGTTCTAGTAGAAAGGGTTCTACTTCTAGGCGTATGTTCTTTTAAATGGCATGGACTCGGCGTCGCATTGAGCTGGTGAGCCGGGAGACTTGGAAAGTCCCAAGTTCGGCCCGGATTTGAATTATGGGTCATTGTATTGTGTATGTACATATTTATGCTCTTTTGGGGGATGCGGGATGTGGGACGAGGAGAGAGATGACTGTTATGAATATTGATCGTTAGGAATATCATGAGATCATATAAATATGAATATTAGTTCAAAACTCCCACGGCTTTGAGCTTGAGTGTCCTTCCCAAGATACATATTCTGAATCTCTGATCAGCCCGCCGCCATTCATGTGAGGGATATGTCAAATGGAAAAAGCTTCCAGATCGGACGGCTAATTAAATACTGCTTAGTCGCGACTTCCTTACACAACAATGAGCAATACTATCTCCTACAAGGAAAGAGCCGAAGCTTTTAAGGTTTGTTCTACTTCCGTCCCTAGAAAAAATGTCTCCACAATCGATTTCAGCTTTTCTCTTTTGATAACTCACTTCATCTCATCTCATCTCATCTCATCTCATCTCATCGCACCGAGTAAGAATCAATCAATTACAGACGAACACGATTTCTCTCAATTATAATTCCAACTTTGAAAAACGATCGGATGTCCAGCCTTTTCCTGATCTTGCTTTGTCTGTTGCAAATCATTTTATCGTGCTACATTATATCCCATCGTCCCGCGCCACGAAGCAATCAATCTTCTACTACAAATCCTTCACTCGATGAAGCTCAAGCAACCTCTCTTCCCCTCTCTGCTTATGAATCTCCACCGAGTAAATTGCATGCGAGCCCGCAATGATCCCTCTACAACCGCACCAGCAACCGCACCAGCTGCAGTCCTTCAACAAAACCCCGGGTGTGCCTTAGTTAGTTCTTCACTTTTCTCTTGCGAGTCCATCAGTCCCGGCTTTACCTCCCTTCTTCCATCCGCACAAGCACCTTGTCTGTGTTATTCGTCGTCTACATGGATTCCGACACTCTTCGATAAAGCAGTACAAACTTGTGCCATTTTTGCAAGCACTGCGGTACCAGGTGCTTATCCAGCTTTCGTGAATCTGGAGGGGTTTTGTGGAAATATTGGGAATATTAGGACATCAGGACCTGCCACGATTTCTGCTAGTACTACTCCAGTCAGTACTACTTCAGCTAGTACCACTTCTGGATCTTTTATTCCAGCAATTCCCACCACTGCAAGTCCGGCGTGCGCTACCGCTATCTCTCTAATAGAGCTCTGCGTCGATCTTATACCAGGGTTCATGGCTTTAGGTCCTACACAACAAGTTTCATGTCTATGTTATGCCAGCCTTACATCCTGGGTTCCGAAGTCCTTCGATAATGCTGTTGAGACTTGCTCGCAATATGCACAAAGTGCGAGTGCTATTGCGGGATTGGTATCGTCCATAGATATGTTTGATGGCATTTGTGAAAGTGTGGGAGATATTCTTACAAAAGTAGGGAAGACTTCTGCGACGACCATATCAAATCCGGTGACTTCATCGGATACGAACTCGGCTCTCTCGACCACAACAAATCTTCCCTCGCCAGCCAGTTCACCGATGACTACGAGTTCGGTTACTTCAACTATCATCACTCGTTCTTCGGCTGAGACCACGCGTTCAATCGTGAAGACATTCTCGGTAACGACAGTGAGCAGGTCTATATCCAGTACAACGTCAATGACTGGACTTGGTGGAACTGGAGCTGGGTACCAAGGAGCCGAAGGGGAGCTGAGAGATGTTAGTGATCCAATGATCATATTGATTAGTTTTGTTTGTGCAGCGTTAGTGCTTTTTTTATGCTAGTTCCTGCCTTGAGCAGGAAGATTATCATGGTCTTGAGGCAAATGAGAGCAGCAAGAACACCGAGAGGGATGATATAATCTGTACGTGCAATGGTATGGGAAAGTGGAATGGTGGAGTATTAGAGGTAGATAATGGGAGGCTGGTTGGACCTGGAGTAGCCACTGGGTGGATTTCGGATATGGTATCTAGTGAAACGAGATGTAATCTTAGTATAAAACTAGAAACGCATCAATGGAAGATGATGGAATTAGACTTGCTTGTCTAATTGCATCTTGAGTATCTGTCTCATTTCGCGGTTAAACCCCTAGTTTTGAAACAAAACGGAATACATACATCCCAGAGTCAAGAAATACTCAAAGACTATCATTGCTCGTCGCCGAATTAGTCAAAAGTACAGTTCCTGCTTTTGTATCTAACGTAGAATGATATGTCTAGTCAATTTCGGATGTATGCTCTTACCTTTGAACCTTTGAAAAAACTCCCCATAGTTCTATTGTGGTATCAAAAACTACCAAATTATGGAGTGATGAAGTGTGTCGAAAGCTTCTTGACGTAATAGGAGAAGTCGGGATTTAAATAACCCCCCCGAAGATAAGATATATGCTAAGAAGGGTAGATGGTACCTACATTGATTTCTTGCAAGGCATACATACTTGTGTTTGAACTTGACATTCACGAGATATCGCATGCGGCTTATTCAATCGCAAACTTGCGAATAGGTCAATGATTATTGTCAGAATATATGAGGAATAGAGGTAATGAAGTTGAATTTTGAGTAGATGGAAGAGTTGATTCCGATTAAAGCAACAACGAGGTCAATTAGTCGTTGGAATTGCTTGTACGAGTTACAAAGGCGATGAAGTTGGATTGTGGGTAGATGAAAGAATTGATCTCTATCAAAGCAACGGCGAGGTCAATTAGTCATTGAAATAGCTTCAAAAGTTTGAGGGAAATTTCAATATACGATTGATCTTCTATTGTGCGCACCCAGTCCTTCATTATCCTCAATACCCTTATCTAAAATCCGTAACTCACGTCAAAAAAATACATTTGTCGCAAGGTGGTATCATGCATGTCCAATTAAAATTATTCCATATCGTAAGCCGGCTCTGCTGCCTCTATAATCCCACTTCTACTTCCCAGCCGCTCATGAGATTTCGGACATCCATGGGGACTATACCATGGTTCATTTTTGTCGCCAACTGTCTGATTAAGACTCGAATGTCTAGGTGGAGGTGATTCTCGTCCGTTACTCGATATTATTGTTGTCGTGAATCCCACAATCTTGAGGTCAGGCCGTAGGTGAAGTTCTGTATCATCTATTCTCGTTCGCTTCCGTCCGGAAATACCATCAATCATACGAGTGTGAAGGGCTCCAGATGATCCGATTGAATTTTCAGACCAGTCAAGGAATGAGCGAACGAGGGGTTTGAGAGTCGCTAAACAGGAAGCTGTAAGTCCAACGGCTGCTTCGACGATTGAGAGTGTGATGACATTACTGATGTGAAGGTTAATATGTATGCATGTATGTAATTAAGAAGGTGATAGGGCAGGGACAACATACGATATGGAGTAGAGATAGTCGTCGGCAGTCACAAGATCTTTAATATAGGCAATTCTTGTGATGGTACATACACTTGCACTAGTAATTCATCAATACAAACTTCCAGGCCAACCAGTCGCGAGTAAATAATGAACAAAGTTACTTACATGGAACCCAATGCCAATGTCATTGCGACCGCAGTTTTCGTCCTAGTCGTGATCTGAAGATCCGCCACAATAAACGCGGGAATTATGCCCAGAGTTAGGTCCGTCAAAACACTCAAAGCCGCATGGCCGTACGCCACGGCTGCTATTGTGGTGGGTACTAGACAATGTCCGTCGGTTGCTCCTGTAAATCGCCACCAGTAGAATGTTATTGGCGTGCACTGAAGTAACAAGAGTACGAAAAAGGCTGCGCTGTAAATGAGAAAGAGTGACATGGAGATGTAAATGGTGTATATATGATAGGGGTTAACAGCAATGCGAATGAGGTAGAGAGCGATGGATGACTTGATGACAGCGATTGTAGGGGGATAAATGATTTCCGAGAAGCACCAGTACTAGATAGAATGTCAGAAGCAATGTCAAAACATGTATCCCATAGGAAGTAGCATACTTTTAATCCCTTTATGAAATGCTCCAGTGCCATACCACTGTCATGTTGTCCAAAGCCCGAGCTAAGTCCTATCAATGTAAAAATGGTTCCAACGCACAAGAACAGCTAGAAGATATCAGCATATACCTTCCGTCTGGTATCCTCTGAGATAGAACTTACCAAAGAGCAAACAGCAAGTGCATCATCAGAACCAAACGCGTTCAGCAATCTGATTCGAACATAACATCGTAATGCCACCGCCACGCATGCGATTATGAAGAAGATCAAAGTAATGATGAGGATTTCATTTTGTTTCTCTGGAGCTTCCATCACCATTTCGGCAAGTTCACATGTACGAATAAAAGTTAACGAGTAATCAAGGGATTCATGAGAACGAGAGATGGTAATCGCCCTAGAAATTCATCGGGATAATGACGAGGTCAGACATTCGTCAAGAATGGGTAAGAGATACTTTTCTTTTCATTTGCATATAATTTGAGCAATACCGGTACTGACAATATGGTTCCCGGTAGAACATCTTAAGACCATCTTAAGACTTCTTGCGGGTATTCTTCGATATTGTATGGGGATGGAGCACAGATGTTCGTTCCTTAATAGATAACATCGGTCGTTGACTCCTTGTAGGCTTGTCCTAGTGTGAATTGGAGTGATGGAACGGCAATTTTTCACTATATAAGGTCATTCTACGAAGATCTTGGAATTCCAGGACGAAGCTTCTTTTCATTATCTTTCTTCATACGTATTCAATGAAAAATTAAGGAAAAAATAAAATGCAATCCTGTCAACTTATCCTAAGGGTGGTTGAATAAGGTTTATGCATGGGCTTCCCTAAACACGGTAAAGCCAAGCTAAGCCTCAAGAACGGGGCTTCTGAGCGTTGAGGTACCCACGTGGACGTATCTATGGATTGATCTCACAGTGAAACGGGGAGTCGAAGTGAGTGACCTTATCTTATACAGTAGACCTTTAGATAATGTGTAACTTTTTTTGAGAAATCGTATTGACTGAGAATCATCGCTAGTAGATCCAACGTCTCGTCTTGTATCAGTTACTACTAAACAAGCATCTGAACAAGATAAAAGTTTATTAGAGTTCAAATTTACATAAAGACGGGTTCCAACCTATAGCATCCTACGGTTCATAATATTACAGCGGATTAATACCGGCGACAATAGTGATATATATCGAAAAGCCCCGAACCCAGTTTTACCCCTGTCTTCGGGGAATTATGGTATCTGAGCCGACTTTTGCCCATGTAAAAGGAGGAGATGAAGCTCTCCTTGCTTTTGAGACTTATGGATGACAAATGAATGATAATTGAATGAGGCAAGGGACAACTTGCAGTCTGATTGAGTCAATTGAGCCAAAATATTGCTACTTAGCAGAATGGAAGTGTGTTACTCGAAAGAGCCGCGTCAAGCCAAAATGAAGTTTTTGATTATTAGTAGGGCGAGATCCTGACATGGATTACATAGATCTAAATGCTAAATGTGGTTCGTCCGGGGAACTGCGACTTGTCAAAGGTACCTCCGTCCAATTAACCTCATGGAACGGCATATGGAAAGAATATACTTTTCGAAAAAGAAGTTCTTGATATGAATTTCCCCCAGTTTGGCTAGTGAAATGCCAGGGACATGTTTCAACTTTAGAGTAGTTCGTTGTAGAGTATGTATGTCGACGGGGTGGGTTGCTTACTCATAAACTCAAAAGTGGTAATGGGGTATAATCATATAATCAATCATTAATGATAAGGATAAATATAAGATACATGTATAGGTAGGTACTGATATGAATAATGGAACTTCCCCAATCGAGGCCCCTTGATTTCATCACAATGATTTCTTTTCTCTCACAACTACCAATAGCCTATTGGAAGGAGAGTGTAGCATGTAGCATACTACAATCGGATCGACACTCACGAAGAAGAAGAAAAAGAAAAGAAATAATATAGCGGTGAAGGAGAGGAGAGTCGTTTGATTTCTGTCCATATCTGATAATTTATGAGCCGTCTATTCCCGGAATCTTCTATCCCAAATTCCTTGAAGTTGCTGTCGTGAAGTCAGCATCTGCGGTGGTTTTATAAAGATGAACGAAGAGCAAGTCTAGATCTATCAAGTCATGATTATCCATTTTCCATTTTCTTGATAATGTGTTTCAGTGTTGTGGACCGATCGGAACGAGCCGTTCACAGAGATGAATGCGAGATTCATTTCCACAAGAGGTGGACAGGTCGAATGGTGGGAATCATCATAAGGCAATCGAAGCTCCATATATTCAAAATAGAAGTCGCCAGATCCATATTCGTCGTCTACTGGTAAATGAGGGGATCGTCAGAATCGAAATATTGGAAGAAGCATTGGCTTGTCCGAGTTCGATTGAATTGGTGAAGCGGCCGCCGGCTAATATTCGGCACGTTTATTTACGAGTATATCAAAGATAAGAATTTCTGAATTTCTATCAAGAAAGCAATTTTGCAACAACACATAGAAATCCTAGCAGTGAAGCAGTGAAGCAAAGTTGTCGTGCTGCTGTTACCAGTGGTGTTGAGTAGGCAGTGTGAAGACCTTCTGCCTTGAGAGATTAATTCAGGAGATACTCGACTGGATAAATGGCTCTTGAGTAAAAAACAGAATTAGAGATTTTGACAAACAATCACTATAGCCATGTCATTCTTTAATCCTTTCGTCGGTTCCTCCCGTCGTACGGGAGATGCTTGGTTCTTTGCTGGCCTCACGACTTCCTTCCCAAATATTACCGCTTCTGGATATTCTGTTCTCTCCGATCGTTTACCATGCAAAGGTACCTTCGCACCGGGCTGCAAAGTTTTTTACGTGCCCCCTACCAATAGTATTGAAGCCGTGGAGGTCAATCTTGACGATGCTGTAGCAGCTGGACTTAAGGAGCAGGTTATAGTGTTTCAATACCAAGGCAAGTTTCACGCTGTCGACCATGTAAGTTTCGTCGTTTTTCTGTGCAGAATGAATCGATAAGGAGATTGAGAGGCTTTAGTGAGGGGAGAAAATGGTCATGGATTTTGCTAAAGAAGTAGCAGAGTTGTCCACATTCCTCGTTTCCCCTTTCACGAGGCACGCCGTTTGATATCGAGGATTTTGGCATCCGATTGAGTGTGGGATTACAATGTCCAAAACATGACTGGTCTTTCGATTTGGTTCACGGGAAAGGGGACCGAGGTAGCTATAGACTGAAAGTCTGGGAAGTTCAATTACGGCCCATTTCTGGTGCGGAGATTGAAGAGAGTGAGGTTTGGGTTAGAAGGAAGCAGAGGATAGGATGAGTGCCATCCAAATTAAGGTATTAGATGGTTTTGCATAATTAAGCTTCAGCAGGCTTTGCGATATATAAGTAAACCGATCATATCGTGGCAGATCAACTAGCTGGGGGTCTATGCCGAAGTTATGATCGCGATGGCGAGGATAAATATCAGATTATCTAGCCGGAGTGTTTTATATATCCAGAGTTCTTTAATGCGACTTCCAATCAAGCAGCGAATGAATGTACTACGTGGTTTAAATGAGTCAAATCTTACTCACATCCACGTTCGTATGAAGAAATATTGTCCGGCCAGAAGGCAGATGGCGTTACCCCGAATAATAACGCGCGGGGTACATTGGAAGATCATTGCGCTGGTAAAAAGAATCGGAAAAATTACAAATGCTTCTGACTAAGTACCTGCCAAGTGTGTCATTGCACGAAGGTTTTGGGTTGTCAAGTGTGGTTGAATTCGTGCATATCGGTTGAAAGCTCACCGAAGATGTCCCAATTTCCAATCTCAATAGAGTTTCTTCCGAATATATGGTATCTCATAGTTTTATGGTCCTTTAGACCGCTCTGGGGGTTTAGATCCTCACTCATAAGTACCTGCTTGATCTCTCTCTTATTGAGCCCATGAAACTAATTGTTAATAAGTGAACATCATCCATAATTTGAGTAATATACCCTACTCCACATCCCTTTTAGCCTTTAGAAATGGTTCAAAATTTCAAACTTCTTCTAGTTGGCCTAGCTTCCACAATATTCGCATCCCCCATCTACTGTGCAGGCCCCCCAGCATTCCTTCTTGCCGGCGATTCAACGACTGCCGTTCAAAATGCCGGGTTAACAGGTGGTGGCTGGGGCAATGGCTTCATATCTACTCTTCGCAATGGAGCTGGAGGTATCAATTATGGACATAATGGCGCGACAACTGTGAGCTTTGTGAGTGGTGGTGATTGGGCAAAGGTGCTAGCATCTCTAGCCAAATATAAGTTACACTATACGACTTTCGTCACAATTCAAGTAAGTGATAGTGGTCAATGGAAGGGAGACAGGTGGGGAATTTAGAGAGTACACCGGAATTGACCAGCAAACCAGTTCGGACACAATGATCAAAAACCAGCCGCAAATATATCAGTTGAACAATATATGACAGATTTGGAGAATATGGCAAAAGATGTAGTGACGGCTGGCGGAACTCCTGTGAGTCGATTTTCCTTCACGGCAAAGTTTATTGTCGACCTTCATTAACTTGAGTACCCAGATTCTCATCACTCCTCTTACACGTCGAGGCTTCAATAGTTCAGGTCTTACCAAGGAAGATCTCGCTGTCCAAGCAAATGCTACCATCGCCGTTGCCAAAACCATCAATTCTCTTTACATAGACTTGAACCGCGCATCGACCGATTATGTGGATGATATCGGAGCGACCAACGCTGCGACGTATAACTTGATACCGACGGATTTCACACATTTGAATGCGGCAGGGAGTGTCTTATTTGGAAACATAGTCAGCGGATTGATCGATGAAGCAGTGGGTAGTACTTTGGGCTTCGATATAAAAACTTATACCGCACCAGATGTGACGATTGCCAACGATGTTGCCAGTGGGACTTATATCTTGCCGAGTGGATTTGGAACTTTACCAAATAATACCCTCCCAGCATGAAGAGACTCAGAAGATATTCTTATGGCGGTCTTATTAGAAGAGACCGTGAGTTAAACAGGTTCTGGAAATTGTACATATGTCCAAAACAATCAAGAATAGGAACCATTATCTTCCTAATGTTATGTCCTCAAGCGAAGTTTGATAACATTTGAAGAGAGATGTCAAAATTTATTTTGTAGGCCTGACTTTTCGTCAAGTCATGAAAGTTAGTGGCTTTATGAATATATACTGGTATGGGCTTCTTGTATACTATCACATATTCACAAACTGGAACACTATGTTTGACCTGAATGATAACAGCATCGTCAAACTTTCAAAGAGTTTGTGTGAAAGACAATTCATTACCTTTTTTCGTCTTCTTTTCTTTTCACTGAGTTGAATTGTCAAATATTAATCATAGAATGTCAATCAGTGATTGATGGATGCCATTTCAAATATTGAAGAGGGGGTTCAAACTGAAGTTGTGGTAACTATTACTGGCTAGATTTCGGGACGATCACAGAACCGTTACAATACAAACTAGATTGTGGATCAAATAAGCCTACCGGTCTCTCACTTCGGATGAATAAAAACAATACATGCCTCGATATACATCATTGGCTATCCTTTTGGTAATCCGTTGGGGTATTTACAGTAAATATGAAATCAATACCTAAGCACTGTAGGCCGGAATCTATATAAAAGTTGGTACAGTACTGTACTTTCCGAAGCCAAGTATAAGATATCCCTTTCTCGTCTAATCCATATTTAGCGGGCGTTGATTAGTGTGTTTCCGCACGTGAATTAGAATCCCGAATCCTGATATATTGAAGACTTTCTCACAAGCATTGCTCTACCCGAGTCTAAAATGGTGTTCCCGTACATTGATACAAAACCCGTACTGTATCGGTATTGGATGGATACCGGTATAATCCATTGTTAGGAATGAATATGGCAGGTGCGATTAGCAGGTCTATATAATAAGATAGTAGCCCTCTCCACACATACAACATGAATCCTATCACCGTATCGGCGTGTCCCTCCTTGATTCTTTCTTCGAGGGACTTCCCAGCCACTGTTATTATTGATATGCTTTCTGTTCTTAAATATCAAAAACTACTTACTGCTTATGTATGTTCTCATAACTTCCCATACTTCCCCCTCGTTCTTTCCAAATTTCCAACTTCCATAGCTTCCATTTCTTCTTAATTGGTCGGTTTTATACGAAAGATGTCGAAATTTTCGATGACTGTGTGGAGTACTACAAAGCACGTCATGATGAAAATGCTATCGTAATGATCTAAATAGGAAGCTCTTTTCCGTAGTTTCTTATCTACTCGGGTATTATCCGAAAACCTTCAATTAACCTTTTTAGCCGGGTAAAGTCTTTCTTACTTTTTCCATCAAGTTATTAACAAATCGAACGAATCAAATCATTATGGTCCATTCTCAACACCAAATTTTTTGATCCGTGAGATGTATTCCTCGCTTGGTCCTTCCCTTCCTTGAGTGCCTGTCCCGTTAATTTTCCACTTTTGCCCACAAAGCAGTCCGCGAATAACGGATGTTGAAAAGGACGTTGGTTCCACAAATCGAAATGATATTTCGTTTTGTAATCTAATATTTTCGATATTTTGCAGATGTGTGATAAGGAATGAAAATGGTGCAATACCGATGGGCCTCGGATTTTTCACACGGAAAACGCTTAGTGGCGGGCGGTATGAGATTTCAATTTGGGTATATACTACACTGGTAGTGTAGCTTTTGCCATGGCATTCTTACTTCAATCTGCGTTTCGCGGTATTCTTCCAAATTTTAGATCTTCGTTCTTGGAGAAAAATGGTTCTTTCATCTTTGAGAAGCCGACTATTTTCTCGGCAACATGAGGGTAAGGTTAGTACTACTACTCCCGCATCCGCCGATCATGAGAATGATGAGGTAGCATCGAGTGTTACTGGTACCGACGAAATCAACAAATCAATAGAGGAAACTGGAATTTCAAACGAGAAGATTAGTCCCGAGACAAGCATCAAAGATTTCACTCCTGTTGTTGAGACTTCACCTCTTGATATCGAAAAAGCGACATCAGATGGGCATTTTGGTGATGATGATCCCCTTCTTAAAGATATCCCTTGGCAAGTCCGTCGAATTGTCAGTCTTGAGGATGATCCTACCGAACCGACAATTACATTCCGATATTTCCTTTTGACGGTTATATTTGTCGCACCAGGAGCTTTCCTATCGCAAATGAGCTCATACCGTACAACATCCGCTCCATACTCAGTCTTCTTCGTTCAAATTTGTTCCAATTATGTCGGTGTTTGGCTAGCAAAGATTCTTCCAGCCAAGATTATCCGGTTACCATTTGGAAGAAGTTTCAGTCTCAATCCAGGTCCTTGGGGAACAAAAGAACATGTATTGGTCACCATTTCTGCAGCATCTGGGGCTACTTACAATTTGGCATACGCCCCCATCTCTATTGCTGAGCTGTACTTTGGGATTACCGTTCATCCAGCCATTGCAATATTTTTCATGTGGAGTGTCGTATACACCGGATATTCTTTTGCAGCTATTGCTAGACAATTCTTGCTCTATGATCCTGTATATCCGTGGTATCAAGCGTAAGTTCAAGATTCCCTTGAATCTTCTATGACGGCCTTCTTTGTCACGACTCTGATCCAGACTTAACTCTCACCGTATTGCATATCCCATATTTCTCTTTTAACTCGACATCATGTGGATTATTGAAAGATCAGTGCTAACTTCGAAATCCAAATAGTCTCTGCCAGACTGCTCTCTTCGAAACTCAGAAAAAGCAGAGACAGCATCCATCCCGCATTTCTAAAAAGCAAATGAGAGTTTTCTTTGGCGTTCTCGCAGGAATCACTCTATGGCAGTTCCTACCAGAATTTGTGTTTCCAATGCTTGGATCCTTGGCATTCCTCTGTTGGGTCGCCCCAAAGAACAAGGTTGCAAACTTTATGGGATCAGGTTTTGGAGGCATGGGATTCTTGAATCTGACACTCGATTGGTCAAGCATTGCTAGTTTGAGTAACTCCAATAGCTTGTTTGTAACTCCATGGTGGACACAAGTCATCATTTTTCTGGCATTTGTGGTCAACTGCTGGATCTTGCTTCCCGCCGCGAAGTGGGGAAATTTGGCCTCTTGGAAACCTGAATTAATGTCCAATCGTCTCTTCACGGGTATGAAATCTCCCCCAAAACAATACAATGAAATATAGACAGATCTCAAGTGCTAACAATTTATCAGAAAACGGAACTAGTTATCCAACCACGGCGCTCATTACCCCCCAAGCTACATTCAATGCAACTGCCTATGCCGAATACGGACCCGTTTACGTTGGCGCACAGCAGCTTTGGAATATGTTCTTCGATTACGCCGCTTACACTTCCGGGATTAGTTGGATTTGTTTCTTCGGTTTCACCCAGATCAAAGATACCATTACCAAATTGAATTCTCGACGTAAGAACAAAGTTGAAGGAGAGACTATCAATCACCAATACAACGATCAACTCAATATTCTCCAACGTTCTTATAAAGAAGTTCCATGGTGGTGGTCATTAGTTCTTTTCCTCGTCACCTTTGTCATCATGATGGCCATTTTAGGGACCGGAAACCTCTTCATTCCTTTATGGACATACTTCATTGCCGTCCTTACAGGTGTTGTGGTTGTTATCCCATTGGGTTGGTTATACGCCCTATCTAACTTCCAACTTCCAATTGGTACCTTCAACGAACTTTTGTACGGCCTTATGGTAAACTCCGTCGATGGGCACAAAAACCCTTCTGGTGCATCAGTTTATTCATCCCTTGCAGGTGATGCATGGTATCGTGCACAACTTATGCTTCAAGACCAGAAAATCGGTCATTATATGCATATTCCTCCTCGAGACACCTTTTTGGCCCAGGTATTTGGTTGCTTCATCGGTATCCCAATCAATTACGGAGTGGTAAAATGGGTGCTGGGCAGCAAAGCGGCATATTTAAGTGGCGCGGAAACGGATCCAACACATCAGTGGACGGGTCAAGGTCTTGCTACGACATTAACTACTAGCACGCAATATGTTCTCATCGGGCCCCGTCGCCTTTTTGAATTACCTATATACCGACCCCTTCCATACGGATTCCTCGTTGGTGCCATCCTTCCACCTATAATTTACCTCCTTCATCGCCGTTTCCCTAAAGCCAAGTTCCATCTCTTCAACACCACCATCTTTTTCTCCGGTCTTTCTACTTTCTCTGGTAATATCTCTACCGGGTATACTTCTTCCATCATTGGTGGTTTTATCGTCTCTTACTGGGCGTATCGATATAGATACGAGCTCTGGTCAAGATATAACTATATCCTTGCTGCAGCCTTTGACGCAGGATTTAATTTGAACATGTTGTTGATTTTCTTATTCTTTGGCGCAGGAAAGGTTATTACTATGCCGAATTGGTGGGGTAATAATGCGGATAGTGTGGATAGATGTTTTGTTTTGGAGTAATGAAGGGGGGTTAGATATAATGGTTTATGGATATGCAATGCCGTTAAGAGAATGTGTGTGTACGAGACTCAATTTGAGATAATGATAATAAAACTATTTCCAATACATTTTCGAGTGCCATTCGTTCTAGGCTTTTGCATAGAACTAAAAGTTTATTCCTGATAGTTCTATGCACAGCTACTCTCGTGAAAGTGACTCGTGATAACGTCACTTTAGATGAACTATGTTGCTCTGTAACGTTTGCTGCGTTAATTCATCAGAGTCGTAAATTTTGGGGGAATGTCAGTGATTAGCCCACTTCGACTTTGCGCATTTATGGGAGCCACGAGAGGCGATCAAGATAGAACTCAATATGGTCAGTGGCCGTGATATCTTGAAGGACGTTCTTGCCGTATTTATATTCTTATGTGACGGTAGACTTCCCAAATTTACCTTCTCAAGTCGCGACCAAGTATCAAATCAAATCAAAATATCAACAAGAATAATGACATTATACGGTTTATCTTATTCGTACCATGCCTGAAACTTCGACTCTGGAAGACAAGGTGGTCAGTGAATACACTTGCTTTGATGCAATATCTCCCATGGCTGGATTCATCAATTAACACTATGTCTTGCAGTTCCCGAATTCAACTGCACCAAACAGGATTAGGTTCGTGACAACAGAGAACTAAGAACATCAAAAACCTTCGAGTCCCGATTACACGCTCTCAAAGCCTGCCCTTCATAACCAAACACTATCTTCAGAACTGCGGCTACTTCCAATAACCAATTATCGATACAATGCGGCCGATGTAAAATTTAAAGCTTCTCGAGACTCTAAAGAAACTTTACAATTATTGCATAAAATAATTAATATTTCCATGCTTGCCTCAGCATTGTAGTAATAAGTAAGAAAAAGATATACCGCAAGAACAATTGTCAATATTAGAGAAAATCCAGACGAAATTGTAGTTGATGCATGAGAAGGGTCCGGTCGTAACAATTTAAAAGTGGCAAAAATTGACTGAGAGATCATTTGGAAAAAGCTAATTCATTGTATAAAACCGTGGCTGATACCATTTCGAAGTTGGTTTGTTGGAATAGACAAATGAGAAAGAAGAAGATTTGAAGGCTAGGGTGGAAAAGTAAAAGGTTTCTGACCCTGAAACACAGACAGACAAGTTGCTTTATGGATTGTAGTACGTCAATACATCAATAGTTGTCAAGGGGAGAAACTTTTCAGGAAGCAAAAGCGATGAACTGTTGGTGACGCAAATAGGAATGATGAAGTCAATCAAGTAGACTATGGCTTTCGAGTGTTTGCCTAGAGACAGTCACCGTTCACATTACATGAAGTATGATTTAAGAAGTAATTCGGATTGTGAATGATATAGAGACGAGCGATTCCACTTGGAAAGAGATGACAACAGTATCAATGTGAATTTATATCCGTCATTACATGATATTTGGCTTCTCCTTGAGAAGCATGCTGCATGCCACTTTAATGCCACTCAAGATACTTGTGTTGAGGCATACAAGTTGCATTATCCATAGGAGTGGGAGATGAAAAAGTGAGTAGGCATTATTGAATTCGATGTGTCGAGGTGGATGAAAGTGTTGGAGTTCAACATGGAAGGGAAGGATTGACGGCTGACTAATCGATCTAATCTTATCTAATCAGCAAAGCTCTACGAGTAGATCAACAAAAATATTTGTAACTAAACCTTTGAGCTTCACAAGCGCTTTAAGGAGAATACTTGAATTGTTCACGTCTCGTTCTTCCTATCCCCTCCGCCAAATACTTTGTCACCGTGTCCGCGCACACCCTTGTTCCTATATATTTGACGCCCTCCCCAAAATTCAAATTTATAACCATGCCCCTCGACACCTCAACCTACTCCCTCGCTCTCCTCCGTCTTGACGGTCGCAGATGGAATGAACTTCGTCGGCTTACAGCACAAATCTCAACCCAACCCTCCTCTGATGGGTCGTCATATCTCTCAATGGGTAATACCCAAGTCCTCTGCACAGTGACTGGTCCTTGTGATCCCTCAAAATTACGATCGATTGGCGGTGGTGGGAATAACAATGCAGGGGAGAAGGCAGAGGTGAGAGTGGAGATTAGCTTTGCTGGCTTTGCGGGCGTGGATAGAAAAAAGTATGGGAAGAATGACAAGTAAGTTTCTTTTATTTTCTCTGTGAATTGCATTCTTATCGGTCTATACTTTACTGGTCGGAAAGGAATAGAAACTAACGAGGGACCTCGCAGACGTATTCAAGAACTTTCAACCACCCTCTCCACAACCTTTACCCCTCACCTTCTTACTACTTTGACTTCTCACTCGACAATTCTCATTTCCCTCCATATCCTATCCCTTGATGGCTCGCTTCTCTCTGCTCTCATCAACGCCTCAACTCTTGCTTTAATCGATGCTGGTATCCCAATGCCTTCCTATATTTGTGCTTGCACAGCCGGTTCCACATCTTCATACTCAAGTAATGATGAAAAAGCAGACCCATTATTGGATTTAAACTTGGGCGAGGAGCAGGAATTACCATTCCTGACGGTTGCGACAGCTGGAGAAGGCGATGGCGATGGAGTCGTGGCGTTAGTCATGGAGACGAGGGTACAGGCGGGGAGATTAGAGGGTATGTTGGCTGTAGGGGTTGATGGGTGTAAACAAGTTAGAGAAATTCTAGATGGAGTGATTAGGAGTAGAGGGAAGAAGATGTTAGGTGGTGCAATGACTTAGTAGGACGAGAACTGCACAACATGCAAGGGAAGACAGGATCATTCAGATGATACCCTGGTATTTTTATGGCGTTTCAACGGAGATGGGGTGACAAGGAATGGAACTATTACATTTAGGGATTCCTAAAAATGAAGGATGGTATATTGCTCAAAGTTACTATGCAAACTGTAAGCAAATGTTACGAACGAGACTATCACCCCGTCAAAGACGATCAAAGTTCACATTCCCTACTAGATCAACAGAACAACTTTCATAGAACTGCTTACAGTTCCTCATGTTTGATTTCAGGCTCTGAAGTTGGTGGTTCCCAACCTTCCTCAACCCCCTCAATGATTATCATAGGCTCCTCTGAAGCCTTTGGTTCTGGCTCCGTGGCTGCCGCATCCACAATGGGTTCCTCAACCTCATCCTCATCGGGAATGAGACTCGCCGGAATCTTCTTCTTCTCACCTTCACCTAACCTGATACTATCAACCCAATTCTCAATCGCTTCAATAGTCAAATCTTCAGCCAATACAGACTCTCCCTTGCTAGGAAGAGTTCGATACCAATTTCGGCGTCCATTGAGAGCAATAATCTCGACATCACCTTTCAAACCTAACGCTTCTTTAATCTTAGAGAATCCAGGGTTTTCGGCATGAAGGATATAGAAAGGGAATAGCTTTCGTTGATGTAAATGATGCTTATGAGAGATTTCAGCCAAGGAATTAGAAGCCGAATTTGTGATTTCACTCGAGGTATCTGGAAGAAATGCAAGAATACATGTACCAGTTTTGGGACCAAGACAAATCGTTTTGAGATCGGCTTCAGTCGTAAGAACGGGAATTGCTGGGGCTGGTGGAAGAACGATTGGTTTCTCTGTTTCGACCTCTGGTGATGGTGATTCGGTGGGTTGGTTTTCTAGCGTTTCGTCTGTTTGAGTGACATGCTTCTCGGGTTTGACTTGAGATGCTGATGCGGACTTGAAAGATTCTTTCGCTTTCGAGGAAGACTTCTTGTTTGTTTTGGATTTAGAAGTCTTCGCTTTTGCGGCTGGTGGGTCTAGATTGGGTTCGGCAGCTTGTGTAAGGAATTTGACCATGCCATCCTTTTTCAACTCTCCATCATAGACAATTCCTTCGGCTGCTTCACCACCAGGTAATAAAATAACTGTAGGAAATTCAGTTACTCCAAACAACTCTACGGATGCTTTCTCTGTATTTCTAATCTGTGCCACCTTAATGCTGCCTTTAAAATCAATGGCGATAGCCTTTAGAATGGCGCTCGTCTTTCCTTTGTCGGTGAATAGAATTGCCTTTGCAGTGTCATTCGCATCAGCCAAGAAACTCTCCAAATCCTTATCCGTAACTTTTTTGACAAGATTTGGTATTTTGTCGACCATCGCATCAACGATTCCCTTTGCAGTTCGTGGTCCATTGTAGTCTTCAACGACTGGTTTTCCGGATTTGCTTCCAGGCTTAACGATTTTGAGAGTAGGGAATCCTTGGACACCAAATCCTCCACAGAAAGCTTTATTCGACTCTTCATCGCAATTAACTGCTGCCACTTTCACGAGACCAGCGAGGTTCTTGGCAGCTTTTTCGTAGGCAGGTTGAAGGGTTTTGCAATGTCCACACCATGGAGCATAGAATTCGACAATCTGGATAAAATAGCAGAATGTTAAAGAATGATGTGCCAAAGGATTTAAAAAAACCTACGGAAGTATAGTTAGATTGAGCGATCAAACGATCATAATCTTTTCCATCAATTGACAAAACAGCCGAACTCTTTGGGTACAATCCAGCATGAACTGCGGGCAAAGCACACAACAAAGCTGCAGCGGCAGTAGAAATCAATCCAGTGTTAAACATTTTGAGAATATTTGTAAATACTAACTACCTGTAGCTGTAGTAGCTTAGAATGTATCAATACCGGTACATGTAAATGAAAAAAAAGACAGAGAGTGGTAGCACAGAAGGACTGACTTTATGTAAAGCGTCGAAAAGGCCACAGTCGCATGATAGAATTACGAGAATTCCAAGGTCAAGGTTGTTCAGGATCAACAAGTTGAATGAAATGAAATCCGGGGTAACTAACTTTAAGGGTTCCCATAAGCGGTGAAGATTGATGAATTGGCAGAAAATAGTGAGGGGTTGGTTATCCATTCACAAAGAGAGAGAAATACAAATTCAAGAAATGGTCAACTAATAATAAATTCTAACTTCATCCTTAACGATAATCATGGCTTCGCAAATACCCCAAAAGTTGAAGACGACGGACTTAACACGATTCATTGTCAAGGCAGCACAACTCGAGAGTGCGAAGCCCGTCATATCATATTGGTGTACCTATTAGAGACCTTGTCCCACAAACACAAACAGTTGCTGACATTTGCAGGTGAATACTGGATTGTTAATCAGATAATCGCGAAAGGACTACATATTAACGGAGATGCGGATATATTGCAATATACCACAGCTCTGATGGATAAACTCGAGAGGGTATGACAATTCTATGTTTGCACATCAGACTATCTAAGTTAAATCATGGCAGATCAAATCCGAAAACCCAGATAACGATGCAATCATGGATGAAACTGCAGGTCAGGCATATGTCGAACATTTTGGTATGGAGATCTTCTCTAGAGCAGATCGGGCTGTCGAGGCAAACAAAGTTACAAAGTATGATCCTTAAAACATTGTGTCAATGAGAAATGTGCTCATGGACTCTAGACAAACTGCAGATACATTCCAAGCCGCAGCGACTTTTCTCGAGCTATTGAATATTTGGTCACCACCTGACGCCGAAACACAAGCAAAGATCAAGTATGCGAAATGGAATGCTGTTAGAATCGTAAGGGCATTGAAAGAAGGAAATGATCCAAATCAATCGAACCCTAAACCACAACCAAATTCCAAAGACGAATTACCACCGTTGGATCCAAATGATCCCGAGGTACAACTACTTGGAGAATATAAAGCAAGGCAACCATCTGTGGAAGAGGTTCCAGATGAGCAATATGGTTTGGAATCAAGGTTAGCAAGACAATCGTCCTTAGATCGTTCTTTGCATCCTTCTGAACAAGTATCTGCTCGTGCGTCCCCCAACGTGAAACCGGCTTCTTTCAAACCATATCCTCGAGATGGGTTCCCATGTACTGCAGTTCAAGACGATAACGTATCGCCCCTTGAGCCATCTCCGAAAGATAGAGATGGATCAGTTGGTGGAGGATATTTCCCAACGGTCCCAACTTTTACGTCAGAACCTCGAGATTCAACTCTACTAACAGCCCCGGCTTCAAGTAATGTATTTGATCTTGGTTTCCCAGATACATCTTCGCTGGCAGCCCCTGGGCAATCTCCCGCCGGGATGAAACCCTCTCCAGACCTTCAATCATTTCCACCTCCAACCTTACCCGGAGAAACCCCATCAACTCAAGACTTTTATCGTAAACCTCAACTATCAAATTATGGATACGCTTCGCCTCATAATGATCCACCCATCTTTCAATCCGGACCTTTCCAGCAAAATACTTTCATGGCACCAATTGCTCCAATTGCTCCAATTGCTCCAATTGCTCCAATAGTGACGCAGTCTCGTGTACAATTAAAAACAGACGATGAAGCAATTGCGAAAGCACAAAAGCATGCAAGATGGGCAATATCAGCATTGAATTTTGAGGATTCGGAAACAGCAGTTAAAGAGTTGAGATTTGCACTTCAAACTTTGGGCGCGGAATAATTTTGAACAAAAGTGGTACTTTTTAAAAATTCATGTATTTAGGTCAACCGGTGACAGGTTTACATATCATTTTTGCAGTGCAAATACCCAGTCATTCGGCGATAGGTTTCCTTTCTTGATTGATGACTTTCATTATTTTCTAATCGCTCTGTTTGAAATGATCGTGTATTTACCATTCGAGCATTCCCCAATTCAAGATTGTGGTAAAGTGTCCATACCTCTCTGTTACTAGTGGGTCTTCACATCCTATTTCATGTATTATTAGCTTCTACACATGTGTGACTCAAGTACTTGTAGTTTTATAACAGGTGGCGACAACAAATGTAATAACCCTAAGCCGGGGGACTAGATCGATGGCGGGCTACATTAAAGTGATTAGCGAGGTAAATATCAAGCTCTAAGTTGAGCACCTCTTCAACTCAATCCAAAGTCTGAATACAATACACATATCGAATTGACCAAAATCCTAATCTGTTTTATTACTGTACAAACATATCTCAGTCTTAAATCCTTACTCTACACTCATTTCAAACCACTAGGATTTGGTTCAACGGCGCATTTGGAAAATATACCTCTTCACAATTTATCGAACAAGATATTACTCAATATCATAGAGCTTGGTTATGAATCCTTACTGGAACATGATGTGCGCGGCAGACCCAGGAGACATCTCCACATCTTTCTAGCTCCGACTACTCCTGCCGAGATGGAGGAGCTTGACTCAATTTGCTTCGGGAAATCTCAAGATTTACTTGAGACCGATGGTCGGTCACCCGATTTAGCATTACTAGCCACTCAAGATCTCTCATTCTGGTGCGCTACATCTCTACTTATTTGTCTCGTCCCAAACATACTTTGTCTTTGGTTGCCGCCTTTGTTTCAGGATTATTCAGGTGGCAGTGCTCGACAACATTGCTCAAATTCAGAAAACTGGAGGTGCTCAAAAAGCTCCTCTGAACTTGCTTTACGAAATATCTTTCTACGACACCTATACGGATGAGGATCTAGAACAGATGAATCTGACTCAGAATGATCCCGTTTTACGCGAAACGAATTTGAACAGCCTTTTACCATTTTTGAGGTTGAAATCATTAACCCATTTCAAAGCCCAAGGAATTTGTATAGCCCCACAGGCAGAAACAATACTTCACAAGGCATATTTGCCAACCTTGAGTCTTCGACTCCATGCCACTACCATTTCCGACCCGGCTCTCGTCAGTTTTCTCAGTCGTTTCAAAAGTCTCGAATGTCTTATCTTCTCAGAGCAAGATATACCAGAACCAAGCGACAATCAAATTATCTGTCCGCTAGACATCGTCAAAGGAATCTCCCACTTGAAACACAGCTTGAAACATTTAGAAGTAGCCGTCGATACACCTGATGGGTACGAAGGGGTTATCGATACCTTTAATAATTTCGAGTCTCTTGAGAGATTGGAGATTGGAGCCTTCTCAATGATGGCGAAGAAATTAGGTGAAGATACAGGGTTTGAGAGTCAAGTACCGTACAAGTTTCCTAGTACTCGAGTACATTGAAGACCTTATATCTTAGTATGGTCTTGTTTAAGATAGATATGGATGGTTTCCTATTAGCACAAGAGTCTTGGAATACATATATGACTTGGTCAGCATGGATGATCTTCCTCCAAACTTGACAACAATCAAACTCACAGAGATACCATTTTGTCAATGTCCTGACGAAGGTTCTTGTCAATTCAACTGCAAGATACTTAAATTCTTTCCTATACTCGAGAAAATTATCGAGAGGTGTAGATATAGAAATATACACTTTGGATGTCATTCTAGTCTTACCAAATAATAATTAGTCAATACTAGCGGTTAGTCAATGGAAATCTCGTTGAAAGGGATGAAGGGATGTATATAATGGAAGCATTGTAGTCCAATTTAGAAGTTCCAATGCTCTAAGAGATCTTTTATTGTCGGATTGCAGTCTGAACTATTGGATACCCTGGATGTATATACTGAGCTGAGGGACTAGGTCGATGGTGGGACTAAAGTGATTAGCTGTAAACACTCAAGCCAATGTCATCGGGCTAACATCGACCCATCACAATTGCCAATAGTTTTGTGATTTGGTGAAAGTCAAGTTGAATATTGATGGACTCGAAAATCTGGAGATAAGATCAAGCAAAAAAGGTACTTCAATATGGAGATCGCAAACAGTATGAATGAGTTTTAACTGAAGTGTAAATACTACAGGGCTATTACAGTGACATAAAGTTAATTATATAAACTATTATTCCAAAATCGTTTTACTATAAGAGATACTCAGATTATAGGATAATTCAAGTAATTCCGGAGTACAGCCTTTGGATATCTCTTATACGTAAATTAATACAGCAGTATCAGTTTAGCTACTCTCAATATATACAATAGACTGTATTATCCCTCCAATAAACGCTATAGTTTTACTACCGTATATTAGTTGAACCAGTGCACTAGTAAGCCAACTCTTACCTGACTGCATAAAAACCCAACGTGAACCTTTTTGAAATCATCTTTTTGATCACCCACCATCATCATTTTCACGTTCCCCGCCTCATATTCCCCGCCTCATACTTGATCCTCCTCCCCCGTTATCACTCACTTTTATCCTTCACTGATCATTATGTCTACCGAACCACTCAACTTTGATGCTATCACAAATGAAGAACGAAGTTTGTTTGATAATGACGATCTCGACATTGTCGACTTGTTCCAAACAGCTATCAAATCATCGTCAACATTCGATATTGATAAAAAAGCGGAACGCTTCGTCACTGATCTTGTTGTATATGCTACAGAGAAGCAGTGGGTCTTGAATACCGTTTACTTCCAATGGAGAACTTGGAATATATTGATATATATTGCTATTGCTATCCCATATAAGCATTATGCACAGGATGTCCTTTTCAAGGTTATTGTTCTACTTGAAGAAGATGTCGACAAATCGTGGGAAGGGTTTGGACCTGTTATCAGAAGCTTATGGAATTGTTGTAAGTTAATGTATTTTTATTGTATTTTGGGTTAGCTTTTCTGACTTTGATAACACGATATATAGCTCCAAAATTTACTTCGACGCTCGACGACGACGACGAAAATCTGTCATTGGACGAGTGGCTCAACCTCAATTCTTTTGTTGCCAAGATTTCAAATGATGGAGATGAAGGGTCCCTAATATTTGGGGTTTGGGGGCTGCGTAGTGGTCTGGAGGAGGATCTTCACAAGTTCGAGGACGATGGAAAACCATCGCCACAGTCCTTCTCCGTCAATCGAGTTCGTGTTGCCTGTGAATGGATTATTCAAGCTGGACCCGCATTTTTCAAGCAGTCTTTACTCAATGTATCCTTCGAGGAAATTCCTGCTAAGACAGGGAGACCCTATTGTGGGGGTGCTTTGTTTTTGGGTACAAATGGATTTACTATTGAGCATTGGGGATTCTGGAAACGCAGATTTATCGAGGTGCGAAAGGATTTTGAGAGCGAGTCTGTTTGTGCGTATATTGATAAAGCGTTGAGAGTGATGTCAGAATTGGAAGGGAAGGCAGCAAATGCGATCGATATCTTCTTTTGAAAAGTAGATAGAAGTTTTTGGGAACGGTAGTTTGTAGATTGTGGCAAAAACATTTTGATTTTGCATATCAATCGAGGATGATAAAATTGTGTATTGTGGCTTTAGGAGGTCAAGGGTCGATCATATAGCGAGAAACTACACAAATCTTACTTTACTTTATCCGAGTCGATTTTACTTAACCTATTTAACTTCCTTAATTGACTTGAGAAAAAGAAAGTTATACTCGAGTAATTAGATTTCTAAAGATTAAATAGCACTACTATCTTCACTTATATATGAATCAATATTCTTCTATTAGAGATGCTTAATAATATTTGGTGGAATATACAACCGATAGATCGAGATACCCAATCATTCTTTGAAATATCTCTATAGCAATATAAAGTTTTACTTATACACGGTTCCCGGAATCCAAGATCACGAGAGGGGATCCCGCGGCTTAGGCATCCTTCACTTATCCTTCCATTTTATTATGATTTAGGTGTATTATTATATCAATAAGTTCAGCCAATCCCGCCGGGATCAGGTGATATTTCACTTATTGATTAATAGTCGGCTCTTTATAGAGCAGTTATCTGGTTTCTAGTTAGAGAAAGTGATTATCTCGTATAAGCGAAAGTGATTATCTCGCTAAAACTACTATAATATTATATAAAATCCATAAATATTCAA